ATATTTGGTCCGCCGTTGCCAACAAGGATTATTTAGTTGTAATCGGACATTATTATAAAGGTTTTGATTTGGATAAGAGAATCTTAGGTTTCAAATGTGTTATAGGATCACATACTGCCAATTTAATATATAACACAATTTTATCTGTTATTGATGAATATAGTTTAAGAGATAGAATAATGGCCATAACATTAGATAATGCAACTGCGAATACTAAAGCAATAGAACTTTTTGAAAATGATTTAAGTTTATTTAGTAATAATGATATTTTCCACCAACGTTGTGCATGTCATATAATTAATTTAATAGTAAAGTCCGGTTTAAAATCAATGACAGGTCATATTAAAAGAATTAGAGATAACATTGCTTGGATTCAAGGTAGTAATCAAAGAATACAAGATTGGTTTAGATTTCTACAAGCATATAATCAAAATCCTAGAGCATTAGCCTTAGATATGCCCATAAGATGGAACTCCACTTACATAATGCTTGAACAATGCATCCCCTATAAAGATGCTATAACAAATTATGTTAGTGCAAAATTAGGAACAGGATTTATAGATGAAATTGATTGGCAAATTGCCGAACTTTTGTATAACTTTTTAGGTAGATTTCATGAAGTTACCTTAAAGCTTAGTGGAACTTATTACCCAACTTCACCATTAGCATTAGGAGAACTTTTAAGAATGTCTATTTTATTTAGTGAATTTAGGACACATGAGGTTTTAGGAGTTCCTATCGCCTCTATGGAAAAGAAATTTAAAAAATATTGGTCTAAATTACCCATGTTGTATGGTTTCGGTGTTTTTTTTGACCCTATATTAAAATTAGAAGGTTTAGAAAGTGGATTAGATAACTTAGGTGGATTTTTAGCTATAGACACTACTGACAAGTTTCCTATTATAAAGGAAAAAATATATTCTCTATATATCTCTTACGAAAGTAGATTTAGAAACACACCTCGTGTTGAACAACCGCAACAACGAGACGACAATCCGCATTCATTCTTGAATGTTTTTGGGTTGTCTAAGAAGAAGAAGAAGAAGAAGACGACGACAAGTCAAGGTCAAGAAGAATCTGGGAGTGGAAGTGGATCTTCACAAGAGGTGGCGGCGGATTCAACGAGTTAATGGCGTACCTGAGTGAGGGCTTAGTTGTAGATAGTAGTGAGGTGTTTGATTTGGTTGAGTGGTGGAGGGCACGAGCATTAACTTGGCCGATCCTAACACGACTGGCAATGTATATTTTTTCAATCCCGGTCGCCACTGTTGCAGCCGAACAAGCATTCAGTACAACCGGCCGAATACTTGAAGAACGGAGAAACGCATTGCAGCAGGATATTGTTGAAGCTTTGGTGTGCATCAAGGATTGGGACCGTTCCGACCAACGCTTACACGATACAATCTCACCGGCAAACCAAGAATGGATCGACGAATTTAATAGATTAACTTTTAATTTTCAAGATGATCCTTCTGCTTCATCTTGATAATTTCTTTGTAAATATTTATTTACTTTGTAATTTCTAATTTGTATAGTGTTTATTGTAATCTTGTATAGACTTTGTAAGTTCATCAAATTTGTAATTCGTCCCACAATGATTGCACTCTTTTTTCCTTACCAAGTTTTTATCTCAATTGAGTTTTTCTTGGTAAGGTTTTTAATGAGGCAAACATGAATTACAAATTTAAAAATCAATGAAGAAATAATTTTTTTTATATAGTTCGTTCGTGTGTTCAGTGTTCATTTCATATTTCAAATTGTAATATACACATTGTAATTAGACAAATACTTATTTCAACAACATAAAATTATAATATAAAAAAAAAAATCGGGCAGCCGGTCGGGCATCGGGCAGCCCGACCGGGCACGGGCAGGCATCCTCTGCCCGAAGCCCGTTCATGGTACTTTTTGGGTCGGGTCGGGTCGGGCAGCCCAAAAATTCGGGCAGATCGGGCTCGGTCATCGGGTAAAAATTCTGACTTTTCAGTGATCATGAGCGGCCCGTCTAAAATTTCAGCACTATCACCAATTTGAATGTCATCAGGACCCTCGTAAGGTTGATGAAGAGACAAGTTTGACAACTGAGAGGTAACATGGTGAGACGCACCAGAATCCACTATCCAAGGATTTTGAGCAGTTTGTGATGTGGTGACGTGATTTGCAGATGGACGTTGAGAGCGAAGTTGAGGAAAGAGCTTGAAGCATCTTTTGGCATCATGTCCACGCTTGCTGCAGAACTGACAGACAACCGGTGGTGAAGTGGAGGGGTTGGGTTTGTACTGTTTGTTGGTAATGGCAGGATTAGGAAGTATGCCAGGCGTCGGGGAGGGAAAATTGGGCTTTGGAGTGCGGTGGGAAGATGGAAAATTTTTGGCTATATTGGCAGTGGGTGGGACGGGATCAGAATTTTGTTTGTCATTGTGAAGGAGGAAGGTCTCATGATCGATAATCTTATCAAACAATTCTTCAAACGGAACAACAGAATCTCAAGTTCGCATGGCAGTAATAAGTTCCTTGTAAGCAGGGCCGAGACCACGTGTTGCATAGACAAGAAGATCAGCATCACTTAAACGATCACCAAGAGCAGTGAGTTCATCTGCAATTTGTTTGATATAGACAAGAAAATCAGTAACAGAGAGAGAACCACGAGTAATCATAGTGAGTTTATCCTTGAGATGAATCATGTGAGTGGTAGATCTCTTGGCATAGAGACGAGAGAGACGAGTCCAGGCTTCCTGACTAGATGTTGCAGAAGAAGCCAACGGTATAACGGCTTCACTCAGAGATGCAAGAATCGCATGAAGAATTAATTGATCTTGTCGACGCCATAAAAGATAATCTGGGTTGGGTTAGTTTGACCATTTGTAGCCACCGTTGGAGAGGGACACGGGAAAGTGCCATCGAGATATCCAAGAAGATCCAGACCAAAGAAAAGGGCATTAAATTGAGTTTTCCACGAAAAATAGTTGAGAGACGTGAGCTTGAGAGGCAACTGAGCTGCAGCATTGATCGTTATTAGAATTTGAGCAGGATTTGAAGAAACAACAGCAATTGTTGACAGATTGCTTGTAGCTGAGTTGGAGGCTTGAAAAATAAAAATACAGAATATGGGAAGAGAAAAAAAAAAGGATCTAACTCGTTAGAGGAAGAGCTCTAATACCATAACAAGCATTTATGGTCTGAATATTGATTAATTGCATTACTAAATTTGGTTTACAGAGTTTATATATATATATATATAGAGCTGTACACTTAGGCGTAAAACAAAGATGCCTAAATACAAGGAAACGATAAATACAACTTTTGAATAATAACCACTAGAAGGAAATCTGTGGAGATAAAAAGGAGTTGAGTTTGTTGAAGCTTCTGCAACGGAATCATTTGAGTCTGGTGAGAGAAAGGTGGTGACCAAGACTTGAGGAGAGATTTGTGGAGAAGCCGAGTCTGATGGTGAGGACGTTGAAGCTTCCACAGGTTGTTGAGATATTCTGATGTGGTGGCCTCTGATGAAGGTGCTTTAATACAGAATACCCCGTCTCACCATGCCAGGATGTTTGGCCTACGCGCTGCTGTGGCAATCCCTCTCCGAAGCGTCTACACCGGGTCATCTGATTTCGTCTTGGAGTTTTTCTTGCCTAAGGAGTGCCAAGACCCGGAGGAACAAAAGCAGATGTTGAACTCCTTGTCCATTGTCATACAGCAGGCTTGTAGGACTTTACATGTTGTGGTTGAGAAAGAACATGAAGAAGAAGTGGTTTTGCCAGTTGGAGAAGCAGTTGTTAATACTTCAGATTTGGGATTTTGCAAAGAAGAAGCTCAGAAATTGGGAACTTCTATTTTTGGAGAACCCTCCACAAAAGAGTCTTCCTGGGTTGCTCATATGATGGAGGCTCAACAGCAGGGTAGAGGGGTCTCTGTGTCACTAGATTATCAGACAGGAGCCCAAAGAAGAATTTAGAGTGCCAACCCATTGGGATAGCAATAATGGGGATTTAGCCAATAGTCAGGTGTTTACAGAATTTGGGCAGCTTCAACAGTGTTCTCGATCCAAAGGCTCGGTTGAGGGAGGTGGAGATTCTTACTCTTTTGGCGGGTGTCGATCTTCGGGGGTGAGGAAAGCCGGAGAAAAGAGGAGGACAAAGACAGAGAAGACCATAAGCTTGCCTGTTCTGCGGCAGTACTTTGCAGGAAGCCTCAAAGATGCTGCAAAGAGTATAGGCGGTAAGAAGACGAGATATTCACATCATTTAAACAAATTACATGCTACACTTGCTACTGTTGTTACAATAATCTATATACATATATAAAGACTTGAAGCTTTTCTATAGAATCTGTTGAAGACCATTTTGACAAAATCCTTGAAAACACTAAACAATTCTGAAATATAACGGCCATGACTTCAATGTTAATACAGTTTATTTCAGAATTCTCCTCCATCTATATTTAAGCTACAGCTAGTTTACCTCTAGAGGATTCTGACCCAGTTTGTTTTTCACCTGCAGTTTGCCCCACCACTCTGAAGAGGATATGCGGGTCACATGGAATCACCAGATGACCATCTCGAAAGATCAAGAAGGTAGGCCACTCTCTGAGAAAACTGCAACTCGTGATCGACTCTGTCCAAGGTGCTGAGGGTGCCATCCAAATTGGATCCTTTTACTCGAGCTTTGCACAGCTGAGCTCCCCAAAGTTTCAGGGGAATGAACATTTTTCATCATCAAATACAAGTGGTCATTCAGATCAATCAAACTCTCAAATTGAGAGTGGCTTTTTCAGTCATCAGTCCGCTATGAAATCTTCATCTTCCTTGTACAGTCAGAATTCTGGTCCAAGTGTGACTGCTGGACTACAGCAACATACAGCCACAACCACTGCTTTTTATGCCTTTACTGGCGATCATGCTTTAATAACAGAAGACCCTTCTGGGGTGATGAAGAGAGCTTGGAGTGATGCAGAATTACTGGCCTCTGCCGCCAACCTAGAAGAAGCAAACCATATGACAAGGCCCCAAAGCTATAAAACATCAAGTGATAATAATCGTGTTCTCGAGACTCTACCTTCCTTGCCAGAAGGCGGTGAGAGGAACCTGCGAGAGGGGTTTGCCTTCCGAGTTAAAGCAAACTTTGGGGAGAAAAAGATCAGATTCAGTTTGCAACCCAACTGTTCTTTCAGAGATTTGCAGGTAGAGATCATGAGGCGTTTCAACCTCGACGATATAAGTACGGTCGACATCAAATATCTGGATGATGACAGGGAGTGGGTTCTCTTGGCATGCAATGCTGACCTGCAAGAGTGTTTGGAGATACACAAACAATCTTAGAACCGCACAATGAGACTCTGTATTCATAAAGCTGCTCTACTGAATGAAGAAGGTCCTTTTGGTAGCAGCAGCAGCCCATGCTAGTACTCCATGAGTCACCTCTGTCTAGCTACTTAGTTTTTTTTGTTTAAAAATATATATATGCACATGAATTTGTTATCTGGTTGTAATTTTTAGAACTAGCAGCTTGTCTAAAGAGGAGATTATGTTCATGGTTATAAACATTAGTTATCTGTTCATTTTCTTGTCAGTATAAACCCATTGGATCTTGTTTTTTAGACCCAATGAACGCGTAGGATGGAATAAATGAATTATGATGATATTAGATGCATTAAATAAAACTCAGTGGATTGTTTTTACTGTTTTTATACAGGGAAACTGATATCACAGAAATTTCAGTAACTCCTCTCTCGTACAGTGTATGTAACTGAAGCCTATAAGCAGATATTTTGTCCATCTACAATAGTTTTTCGTTTTTCTTTCCTCCTCAACAACTAAATGTCATGAACCTTGAGCAGTAGTAACGGCATTAAAACACTATTTTACTTTCCATGCAATTGGCAAATTTTAAAATTCTCCCTTTTTTTACAACTTGAGTTTGTCCTTAGTTTCTACTATAAATTGTAGTAAGGCAACCTTTTCAAAGAAATAATTTACATTTTCAAATTTCTCAGCAGAAATTTACATTTCTAAAGCAAGACATTTTCTTCAAAGATAGTCAGGATACATCAAGAGATCACAATTGGTGAGTCCCACCAATTTTAATGAATCTATCATAATTATACGATAAGAATATGACGCCCCTCCCTTCTAGAATTAGCTTGATCAGTTCACAGAAGAGTAAGCAATTGTTTCAAGCATACGTACCCCAATAAAATCTCAAAAAGAGCATCTCAATTGTGAAGCCGAGCGAGCATGGACAAAGTCTCTGGAACCATAAAACAAGATTCTTTTCTGCATTCAGTTTCCAGGGGTTAAGGTGTCGCACTGATCTAGTCCTCTAGTAGCTTTATCATGACCTGCCATCTCTCCAAGCTATTTCAAGGGGTTGAGAAGTTCAATCATTATCTTCCCAGTAATCAAGAAATTTAGTATACCGTGCCTGCAAACTTGATATTCTTTCACGACCCCAGCCTTTTTGTACCTTTTTGAGAGTTTTTAGTGCAGTTCCACTGCCATCATCTCTGTCATAGAAAGGAAATAATGTGAAAAGATCATAGTGTACAGAGCTCTTAAAAAGAAATAACTAGGATAGATTAGAACAGTCAAACTGCAAAAGAGATTCAAAACAAGTAGCTAGATGTACTTCTTTTATCTAGTTAAGGGGATGCCAATCATTTATACCAAAATTGCATATTGACATTAGAGTATCTTGCAGAATGGAGATACTCTCTAGCATATACTCAAACTTCGAATAGAAGAATCAAGAAACATATGAAAAATCCTATATGATTACTGTATGATATATAAGAGCTTGTCCACCGTGTGTGCATGAATGTAAAGTACTTCACAAGCAACACAAACAAAGATACAAATCACCAAATTGAGCAAGTTCTCTGACATGACCACTAAAAATGAAATGAATCCAAAATAATTATTAGAAAGAAATTCCTCTTAAATAACTACTTCTTCATCGTACCTGTGCACTATGGTTTGCCAATCACTTTTGTCAGTCTGGCGTGACCTTCTCTGACTCATCTCCTTTTCATGCCGGTAAACTTTATTTTTGACTCTACCTTCTGAAGACATTTCCATCATTCTCTCTGCAAGTAATTCGGCCTCATGCTTGTTACCTTTCTTACCCAAACCATCAATGACCGGCATAAACGATGCAGGATCGAACCCATATCCCTTACCTAACATGTAATAAATAATGCTACTGGCTTCATCCAACTTTTCATCCTTGCAAAGTTTGTCAATGAGATCTTTATAAAGGAAATTCCCTACATAAAGATTTCTATCTAGTGCTGCTATGAAAATCTCTTTAGCTTTTGAGAATTCCCCTCCAGCAAACAACTCATTGAACATCAGACTGTACAAGGCTTCCCTATGGCCGCAAATATTTAGAGCTATCGCAAATACCTCCTGCATATCTTCAAATTCACATGCTTTGCAGAAAGCTTTGATTAATTTTCCAAAGGAACCAATATTAGGGGATATATCTTTTTGCACCATTTCATCTAAAAGAGAAGTGGCCTCTTTAATTCTCCCTTCTTCACAGAGACAACTAATCACATTATTGTAAGTGCAAACATCAGCAGAAACTCCTCTTTCTCTCATCTCATCTAGCAGTCCATATATTTCAAATATTTGGTTTTTACTTCCTACGCCGAGGATCAATGAGTTATAAGTTTGAAGGCTCTTGTTGCAACCTTTCTTTTCCATGTCCTTCAACACGCGAAATGCCAATGATATCTTCCCTTGTTTGCAGTAACTACGTATGAATGTATCGTATATCACTGAATCGGGGCACAACCTTTTCCCCATCATCTCTGCAAACTTCTTTTTGGCTTCATCCAGCTTCCCAACCTTGCATAATGCACTGATTATGGTTGAGTACGTTATTAAATCAGGCCTGCAGTTTCTTCCATTATTATTATCATCAACCAGGCCAATAAAAGAATTCCCCAGGTGACCAAGAGCAGCACTTCCATGAGTCCACATCTCACTCACAATTTCAATAGCTTTATCCATCTTCCCAATGTTACAGAGACCATCAATCACAATGTTGCAGGTCACGATATCTATACCGTAACCCCTCTCGTACATCTTTTGCAACAACTCCTCTGCTTCTGATGTTTTCCCCTCCTTCCAGAGGCTGTGCAGCAAAATGTTGCAAGTACGCGTATTTGGATGGCAATTATTCATCATCATCTCCTGCAGAACTTTCTTGGCTTCAAAAACTCTCCCTTTATTGCAGTGCCCATGGAGTAAAGTGGTATAAGTTACCGTATCTGGGGAAATGCCACTGCTTATCATTAATCCCATCACCATTCTTGCATCAGAAAACATTCCATTCTTGCATAAACCATCCATCATGATATTATATGTGAAGATACTTGGCCCCGTTCCTTTATCCACCATTTCCTTAAGAAGCAATCTTGCCTCCAACAGCTTCCCGCTCATTATCAAAGCCCGCAACCATATGTTAAAACTCTCCAAATTGACAAACTCAGAATTTCTTTTCATAGTTTCGAACAAACTCCTCGCTTCTTCAAACATTCCTTCTTTGCAGAATCCCTCAAGCATCAAATTATATGTTATGATATTAGGTCTTGGGAGCCCCAACTCTTGGTCTATTTGCATATCTCTAAATATTCTACACGCTTCAAGAACTTGCCCCGACTTACAAAGAGCCGAAATCCTAGAATTAAACGTAACGACGTCCGGCGTCATATTATTATCTCTCATCCTCTCTACTAATTTCTCAGCTTCATCAGTCCTACCTGCTCTACAAAAACTAGATATCAAAGTATTGTACACAATCCTATTAGGCGGCAAAACGTCACTTGTCTTATTGAAAAACTCCAAAGCTTCATCAACAAGCCCGGCTCTACAATACCCGCGAACCAAAATCCCAACGCTATACTCATTCGGACGACAACCCTTCTCAGACATTTTGTCAAACATCTCGCGGGCATTTTCCAAATGGCCCGATTCACACAACGCACTGATCAAAAGGTTAAAGGTATACGTTTCAGGAACAACCCCCGAAACAATCATATCTTTATACAACCACGAGAAAGAATCCACGCTTTTCTCGGCGAGAGATGACTTGAAAAGCGAATTGTAGAGAAAAGCCGAGTAAGGCTTGTCGGGAAAGCGTGATCGGAGGGCTTTGAAGTGAGAAACGGCCATGCCGGAGAAACCCGAATTTGCCAACATTCTGACGAGGGAAAGGAGACAGGCGTGGGCGGTTTCGGGAGGCTCCGAGGAGAGGAGAAGTTGGTGCAGAGCGTCGATTTGGCGGCGCATTTTGGCGGCGATGAGGATGCGGGCGACGACGGGGACGGAGCGGAGGCGGAGATGGGAAGGAGAGCGTTTGAAGAGAAGCCATGCGAGGGAAGGATTGTTGGCGTTGTTGAGGAGAGCTTTGGCGAATGTGGTTGCTTCGTCCATGGCGCATGCGAAGATTACTGCTGGTTCAGCTACTTGGAAAAACGTTACGAGGGATTTCCGCTGTCGTTTTTCATTTTCTTGTCGTTTCTCCGTTGTCGTTTGGCGCTTTGGCGGGAGATATAATCAGAAGGCGTAGAATTTTTTGTTTTTATAGGAAGAACATTATAAAATTAATTTATATGTTTATTTTTATAATTTGTTGAAATTAATTTATATGTTTTTCAGACATTTGAGAATAATTAAATTGCATAATTTTGAAAATTTTCATTGAAAAACAAAAGTGCGTGATTGGAAAAATAAATATACTTGATTAATAAAGATATAAGGGATACTCTAGTTATATTTATTAATTACCTCGAGTCATTAAACATGAGAATGTTTATACGTCATTATCAAAATATGCTCCTTGACCCAAACGACATGCCATTTGATTTTTGAAACCACTAAACGACATAATATGTGTCTGTTTTCTAGCATCAACGACATCTCGTCTTTCGTTTCGGCTACTAGTAAGTAAATTCTGCTGCCGTTTAATTAGTTGAGCCACGCCGCTTTCCCGTCTTAATGTTGTAACTGTTTAAGAAAATACGTCATGTCGTCCCTTGTTTCAAAGTATATCGTCGTTTATGTACAAAACAGGACGTCTTTCAAACTAACGATCAGCATGTCGTTTATATTAAATGCTACGCTACGTCTTTCTAGGCTTAAAAGCGACAGTAAACGTTTATAAAAGAAAAGGAGAAAAGGGGCATATTGGATTGGATAATGAAACCACCTCGAAGTTATGGTGTACGCGAGATGTCTTTCATAGAAAACTTCAAAACCTAAAATAGCATGTCGTTGACTAAACAAGGCGTCATCCACCTTTTGAAAACGATTGAAATTTTCACAAAACTAAACGTCATTTCTTGCATAAAAGGAAAATCCCGAAATAATCTTCTAAAGAACCGACACCATCTCATTCATCGGACAAACTGATTCGCTAAAAAACTAGTGTTTACAGCATCTATTTTCATCCTTTCTGACGAATATCCAATTTAAAATGTTGTTCCAAGAATTCCTTTCAACAGTATTCAAATTGTGGTTCACTTATGTAAATAATGATTTTTTCCCTAACCATATGAGACCACAGACGCAAGATTGCAAGTCTATAGGTGTGAGGAGCAGGATTCACCGAAAAGTGAGGATCATACTTTCCCATCTATCAGCTCAATTGCACTGAAGATTCTTCTCGTTGCTCGACTATTACTCTTCTTGGCATTGGACCAAACATACTCAACACGACCTGCAAATAACAAGGCCAAACCCTTTGTTAATTACCAGGATTAGGCACAACAGCAATGCGATAATCCCTCGACGTGGGATTGTTAAATTAATGGTTTATAAGTAAAGAAAATAAACTTACAGGTAAAAATACAAGACCGTGCAAGAAACCAATAAGAACCAATGCCAGGTACATCTGGAAATAATAAACCTGAAAAAACCAAGAAAACTACTTAATATAGCCCTTGATTTAGACATCAAAAGGCATTATCAGATGAAAGGGGAAAAAATCAAGTACCACAAAAATTTCTGATCTTGCGAACCCAAGGACAAGAACACCAACTAGTTTTGTAAGCGTAATTCCACTGCAAAACAAAGTGACAAAACAAAAAAAAAAATACTCAGTGAATTATTTGTGGAGACAGTCAGCTGCTCAGCTTAAAGAGATGAGTCCCTAAGAATCTAGAGAATAATTTACAGATATAATTTGGAGAATTCACAAAATACAAATACAAGCTAAGCTTTGTCAAATCCTAAAAAATCAAAGCTATCAAAAGTCCCGGATAACGGTTATATTTTGTTACTCTTTACTATCAAATTAAGCTTTTGGAGCAACTGGTTATCCAACATAGTATTTAGAAACCAATATTTATTTTCATTCCCAAATACCTTTCCAACTAACTTTAGACAAGTTATAGACGATCTCTAAACATGTGAGTATTAACTTAGCGGAATATCCTTGATATTTTTTGTTCCTACCGTGCTATTATATTCATGAAGATGTTTTATCAATATATATTTGCAAATGCATTAAGAAAATCCTGAAATGTTTATCCTCTCAGTCTTAGAAATTTTCACAAAGAAGTGAATTTAGCTACTGCCACAAAAGTCAGCACACCTAAATAGGAGAAAAAACAAACCTGAAGACGGAAGCTCCCATAGTACCCAAAGCTTTTTTCATGCGCTGGTTCCTATCCCCATGGCTCACCTGTAAAATTGCAGCAACAAATAAGTAATTCATAAAAAAGTTTTACAAACGAAAACAATAGCATAGTTTTCCAGTCATGCAGGCCTGGTGACATCCAATCAACAAACTATCAACATTTACTCCAAGATTAATCCAAAAATATATTGATAGCCAGGAGATGTCCCAAAATACGAACCAAGTACGCATGTGTGATATGAACACAGAACTCAACAGCGATCCCTAGTGACATTATTAGGTTTACAACAGAAACTGCATTTAGTTGGATGTCCAAAATAGCCATTACACCCTGGAGATTTCAATTAAGGCAAGTTAGTATTGCTTGTAACAAAAAAGTAAACAAAACTTAGAGATGAAGCAGAAGCATTTATAGAAAGATTGGCACAAACATTGGAAGATAAACAAGATATAAAAAAAACATTGTGAAGCTTAATAGTCGAGGATAACTATACCATGAGGTCCACAACAATCATTGCTAAAATCAGTAGAATGATTGCTGAACTCCATAAACTGCAGAAAAAGATTAGGAGGGAAAAAAAACAAAAAAACAAAAAAAAAAAAAGGTCTCAGAAAGAAAAAACTAACTTCCAGAATAGAGAGCTTAAATTGTAAGCAGTCAGATCTAAATTAGGCTAAAAAGAATCCAAACCTGGAAGTTAATAGGAAACAAACAATAAAAATAGCACCTGTCATAACAACACATGAGATATTTAGTTACTCCACAGAAATAAATTTTAAAGAAAGAAGGGATTATGCATGCACCAACTAATAAGATCCGAAGATCCATAAACTTTTTTTTTTTTGATAAAAAAATACTCGTGACTGACGTCTCAACTCTCATCTGCTAAAGTTCGATGAAACACAATAAGTTATCCAATCTCGAGCATTTAAACTTTTGTAAACAGACAAAATAATCTTGATATTGTTATTATCATTGCGGTATGTCTTCCAATTCAGTAATACAGAAACAAAAACACAATTGCTACTGCTGCAAAGACATTTGATTACAAAGCTCAAGCAAATTTCCCAATTTATCAACATCCTCGAGAACAAGACAAACAACATATAGAAGGAACATACAAAGAATCATCTTCACTAATCAGGAATCTGATACAACTAAAAGACAGCATTTGCAGTTGAACTGGATGTAGAGCACGAATGATGAAATGATGGCATGTGGTATATAACCATACTACAACAGTACAGGCAAGTAAAACCTTCAAAACATAAAAGCTATTCCCTGTGTGTGTGTGTGTGTGAGTAAAGACATACACAGACAGAAGTATCTGCGCATCTGAGATGCACACAAGCACCCATCAAGTAATCAAAACTGCGATTTATTGAATACTAACCAAGAGCTAAAGCAATGTCCATCAAGGCTACTCGCCATATGTCAAGATATTGCTCAAAGAAAATATAGAAGACAGAATATGGAAAGATATCCATCTGCATCAAAGAGGCATGGGTAAGCATACTAATACATGGATCTAAATCAGAAGCAATGATGCTAGTTCCAAAAACAACAACAACAGTAAGAATAATACAATAATAAGCTAGTGAAGAATAGAGAAGAGGAAAGTGAAAACCCTCGAAAAGTACCATTACTGTATCATGCTTTATAATTTGCTTATTGAAGATTGTGATAAAAACAGACACAAATCTCTAGCAGAATCTACATTCCTAGAACTAGTGCTCCCCCAATACAACTCTCAACTTAGATCTTAAAATAAAAGGGACAAGAAATTGGTAGAACTTGTAACCACTAATTAAGAAACTTTCACCAACTAAACTTCAGTCAGTAACTCACAACAGCATTGCTTAGAAACTGATTAAATGTTTGAAGTTTTAGATTAAATGTATATTTTCTTTTCAATAAAATAGGGCTCAACATATTATTTTGGGCCCAATTTCAAAAAAATAAAATAAAATAAAATAGCACCATGCTCAAAGAAGAGTTATGTCTTTGCTCCAAGGGGGAGGTAAGCGCTTTGGTAAGTTAAGATCCTAATTACAAAATGACAACAAATCTGAAAGAGGCGACTGTCATTTCCAACGTACAAGATAATTTTCCTAAATAATAACGAATCATGGAAGCCAAACTACATCTAGGTACAAAGCTTGCATGGAATAAAACCTTTAAAGAAGAAGAAATTCTTGAGCTGAAGTCCCTCGCAGCTCTCAATGAATTGACATAGTCGACCTGATGACAATGAAAGTTAAACCAAAGGAACACAACAAAACTTTTGTAGAATAATCATTGAAATATCCTAACAGCAACAGTTTACAAATAAATTGCTGTACTTGTTTGTTCACAGGTGTGTGATAGGTACGGAACTCCGAGGCTTGTATAATACCACTCTCATAACCTGAAAAAGGTCAGAAGAAAGTTGAAAATTAAAATACTCCTACTAGGCAACATCCAACACCTTTTAATCACAGCGTACACACATGCATGAGATTTTTTTTTAATCTGGAGAGAACAAAGGAGAAAGGAAGACTACTGATTCTACCGACCATTCAGATCAACACTGTTGGTATAAGCCCCATGGCCACCTTTTGCACAATCAGCAGATGGCAGCGCATTAAGGAACCACGGAAGCTTCTCCATAAATTGGATGGTAGATGGGCGATCATTAACCAAATCTGAGTGCCTAAAGCACTGATAACAATTTGAAACATCAGTACCTGTCTACCTCTTTAAAAATTCAATATGTTTAAATGTAGTTGCTATCCACATTCAGTTCGCTAATTCAAGTTTTCAATTCAAGCTTAGATGTGACTTTATATGAAAGCTTTTAACTGTAGCAGAAAAAGTTAGATGTGACTTTTTGTGAAAGCTTTTAACTGTCGCAAAATTGGAATTGAAAACTCGAATCAGTAAAATGAACGAGGCCAAAGAATATCATTGAAAACAAATAAGTATGCATCGACCAGGATAATTTCAAACATTTTTCAGGTAAGGGCATTACTGTGGTACAGTCTTGGCAAACTCCACCTAAGCCACAAGCTTCATCAGGTTCACAGCAGGGTGGCTAGAAAAATAAGATGATTTGCTTCAGTAATCTAGTAGTATATATTTGTTTATAAGACAGCATTAGTAGGACAAAAAAACATCCAACCAGTTAATATTGCAGGGATTAAATAATAATAATAATAATAAAAGTTCATCGCAGATAATTCCAAGGCAGCATGTGGCAGTTAAAACCTTTCAAGTGAGTTCTAACTAATGCATCCTTCCATTCAATTTATTTATAAAAGTGAATATGTGTGAGAGGTGAAGAAACTTCTCGTTACACGTGCATCCATACATTTATCAGTCAATGATATAAAGGGTGTGTACATGCATGATATGCAATTACTGACTGTTGGATCAATTAATTGCTGACAATATGCATAAATCTAAGCAAGATTGCCTAATAAAGCTAGGTAATGTATTTAAACGGGAAAAAAATAATAAATTGCCTGTGAATAGTTAAACTGACAATTAAACTGTGATGGTTTTTGTAAATTGGAAAATGCAAAATGAAGTATAAAATCTGGCTACGCCTATATTTATGTATAACTTGGAAATTCAAAGTACTAATAGCAAGATAGGGCCTAAATCCCCGGAGACACAGGCAAATGAGCAACCTGATCATCAGGCGGACAATAAGAACCATTTATAAACTTCCGGCAGCAGCCAAAAGCCTCAGGTGACATCCATACGAGAAAGTCATCAAGCCAAGAGGCAGCTGGCTTAGCAATATAGCTTGATTCTGGAGTTAAAGATGCTCTTGATATCTGCAGCAGGACAAAAGAGTATACGACATAAACACAAGTTCATATTCAGGGAAAAAAATAAAAAAGGATTCTTCAGTGTACTGATGAGGGATGTACAGGTAACTCGCAGTCTAAAATCTGAACTACATTCCGCATTTACTTTTAGAACAGTAAAAATTCAAGGCATCAAATGTGAATAAATTACGGAACAGGACACACTGGCATAAGTAACAGTATAAACATGGCAGGAAGAGAAGAATCATGCAACAAATAACAGATATTTAGACACCAGATTCAAGAGATGTCGAAGCTGCAGATCAATGGCATACTTGTAGAACACGGGTAGAGAAATACTGTGTAAATTGGTATGTTAAAAGTAATTCTGCCCAACCAATTTCGAATTGTGATTCACTAAAGCCTTTCTCTTACCTCATTCAAAAGAGAGTTAGAATCACAGCCACTGATGGAGCATAACTTGTTCGTTTGTCTTGATTGCGAGCTGAGAAAAGCAGGTAGATTTCAAACTAACATGTTACAAAAATATTAGACTGAAGGGTGGATTTTTTTTTTTTTTTTTTTTGGAGGGTATTAGACTGAAGTTTGTTTTCTCTCAAGTCTCTTATTTTCCCATCTCTCTCAAAAGCTTAGGCCAACATTAGTTTTTTATTCTAACAAAATTAAAAGCTTCAACGTCCAGAAAGCAATTTTTACTTTCTTCCTTTAAAGGAGAGACGATGACAAACAGAACCCCTTTGTTTCTGTGCTGCAATTCAACCGTTTTATATTCACAAGTCCATTGCTAATAATGAATCAAACCATTCAATTTAAACAAAAAAAAAAGGGAAAAAAAAAATCTTATGACTATTAATGGCATGATTTCCTATACCATAGAAAATCATTCATTTCTATACTGCACAATTTTCCAATTTGGAAATCATTGAAGTACTAATCAATTATACAGAATTTAACTGGCAATAGGAAGTTCAGTATTTGGGAGTAAGACAAGATACCTGTAATTGAAATTCTTAACTACAAAATATACTGGTGGTCCAATTCTAAGATACTCGGCAATATCAGTAAAATACCCCTGACAGTAAGAGAATCCAGATTATGAAACAAAGAATGAGGGTTAACTAAAATAAATTTCATAAGAACAAAAGGAAACCTGAAGGTAAGAATCCCGCGGAAGAACAATCTGCTGCTCTAAACCAGGTTCAATCCTTGTAGATAATGCCTAAATAATATAAAGATTTATGAATAGCTGCACGACCAAATGTATGTACTCAGAGAGCTAAAATAGCTACACGGCCTAATGCATCGTGTACTCAGAGAGCTCAACTCAGAACTAAGAGATGTAAAGTAATTAAAGAGGTTTAATAACAAACTTACGATGCTTGCTAAAGTAAAAGCTACAAAAACAGCAATGACAACCATCTTAACTGCCCAAATTCCAAGAATGGGGGCATGTACTTCCTGCAACAAACAAAAGTTATTAGGAGCGACAAATAGAAGATAAATAAACAGCTTCCTATTCATTAGGTCCTCAAGAAGAGATTAGAATTCAAAATTTTTTAGCAGATTATAAAATAACCGATACTCTTTTTTTTTTCCCCATGGATCTCTAATCTATCTGGAAGCTTCATTTGTAAACTTTCTTCTTGATTAATGAAGCTTCTCTTTTCTTATAATAAAAGCACTACAGTATTAGATTGGTGATCTAGGGATACCTATCGAGAAATAAATTTCCATTTATAAAAACCAAAAGAAAACTACCTTCATATATCGATTCAATAAACCAGCTCCTCTATTGCTCCCTGAAAAAAGGCATGTGCATTGATAACCAGACTCATCCAATTTGCATAAGCGAGTATATGTGTGTGTGAAAATAAAAATGTCATCATATTATCCACGCATGCATGTAAGCATGGATCAGACAACACACACACACACACACACACACAGACACAGACACAGAGGGAGAGAGAAGAGCTAATGAATAAAAGCTTCACAGGAATACCTTCACTAGAATCGACAGAAGAAGGAATTTTTATGCATGGAAAACAATCAATCCTGTTATCCTCGGCTCTTGAAAAGTCAAAAACTATCAGGGAAACGAAAGCAGTAACTTGCAGAAAAAAGTCCAACAGAACAGCCAAAGCTGACCAAAAAAAAAAAAAAAAGAAAGACCTCAGTAGGTAAAACTTAAATTTTAGAGGAAAGCATAGTTCCAACATATTTCTCTTTAAATATGCAAAACAAAAAACCAAAAAGACACCTGCAAACATGGAGAAGACTCGGCATGCTGGCATAGGAATAATACTTCCGACTGCAAATGCCAGGACCTCTGATAAACTAGCTAGTGTAATGGAAGGACCAACTTCAACAAGAGCATTGCTTATTCGTTGTTCTAAAGGTAGCTCCACCGGTTGACGCTTAACAGCATGTACCAATATACACATGTTATCTACACCTACCTGAATAAAATAATCAAAAGGAGAGACAATTAATATACTATTACAACTTTGGAAATGAAGCTCCTCCTTTCATCACAGTGCCTGAGACTAATATAGAAATGGAACTCTCATTAGAATAGATTATAAACCCAAACGTTTACATTCCAGTATTAAATAACTTACCGCCAGAACAAGGAAAGGAATGACTTCCATTATGATTAATGTTGATTTAACTCCAAGAGCACTAAAAAGTCCAACAGAACCAAGGACTGAAAGCATGACTAGCACAACTCCTGACAGACCAAGCAGCGCCTGAAAATCATAGAACAAGATGAGGAACACTAAGCATAAGCCAATTATTCTAAAAACTCAATCAATGGCGTGGACGTGGGCAAACTGTAAAGATCGAAAATTTAGTATATGTGTGTGGATATGCATATCCAAAAATATGAACAGTTGTGAATATATTATTTATGTGAATTATAAAACACATTCACAAAAAGTGGGGTAATGTATCTATCCATTCACAAGTCAGAAGAAAAAGGAAAGTATATAAGAAACAAGTCTCAAAAAGACCCTTCGCAAAAGTGTTTACATTTTCAAGGCAACAGATCTTTAAGAATAGTGAATCCACACATCACAAGAACTTAAGGGGGTGTTCTTTTCATAGGTTTGAACACAAAACTTGAAGTGAAATTCAAATTTTGTCAGAGAAAACACTGTAGCAAATCTCTGCCCATTTCATCATAAAAATATCCATTTAGTGTCTCCACATACACCAGAAATCTCTTCCCTCGTTTCCCCAGGATTTTGCAGTTACATAACAAAGGAAACAAATGATGACATGTTAATGGTTAAATGATTAACCACATATTAGTTCTCATAAAGTATCCATATAACTGTACCTATCTGCAGATTTAAATTGAACCAAATTGATGGAAATAGCTGCAGAAGCAGTAGTTTGATAAAAGATTATTGAGCAGAACACGAAAGAAGTAGATGGCAACAAAGTGCTTACACGCACAAACCATGCATAAAGAGTAGGGGAAACTTACATAAAAATCAAGGAGGTTAAAATTTTACCTTGGATGAGAGGTAGAAAGAAGATAATTGAGGAGTATCTCCCAATGTCACTGATATATAAGCAAACATTACCAGATAGCTTACCTGTTATGATTTTGGACAAGTAACAAGTAAGGGCAGATTTTATTTTTAAAGGACTTACTTTAATAAATGTTTCAATGAAAATGGTCATCCAATTGTATTCCCACATGGATAATGAATTAAACATGTTATAAACAGAGTCGGAATCTACCATTAAAACACAGTTGTAGAAATAAAAATTTTTAAAAAAAATTAATAATAATAATAATAGTAGTAGTAGTAGTAGCAGTAGAAGCAGCAGCATTGAAACATCAAGGCTACGAACTTACCAATATTGTTATAACATCTGCAGTACTCTCTCTTTTCAACTCCTCCTCAATTGAACTTTCAGAAGAAAACGAGAGAGTAAGATTGCTAGATTGAACAAGAGACAGCAGCTCCTCCTGCGTCAAAATTCAAAATGCAGCCATCAATTCAGGATAGTGCTTCAAGCTATTTCATAACGAATTTAATATTTGGTAAGATACAGAAGCAGCAAAGCAACTGGGTAATAAAAATATAGACCACACAACGTGAAATAGGGTTGTGTAAAACATTCAGTAAGCTTTGTAACAAAAACACTTCATTGAAGAGTACCCTGAAAAGTAAGAAAGAGAACGCTGCATGCGTATAATAATCATATGTGTCCATAATTGATTATTACACGCATTGTAAGTAAATCAGGCACCCCCTTTAACTTTCTGGTGACTAAATGCTTATTATAACCAACCAATTGCATTGAGACATTGAACTACGTGATAGAAACAGATCATTGTAGACCTTTCTCACTAAGGAGCTAATAACGTAACATGTTGTGGAGATAGCAGTTACTGGGACGCGAGATAAAACTAGCAGTCTCTATCGCACATAATATCAATGTCTGGATTTTTAAACCAATTGACTTGCAGATAGTAATTCAACTCTAGTTTTTGTAAATGCTAAATTCACTAAGATGAAAACACACGCTACCACAACACTAGAAGCTTAGATAACAACAATGTGAATTATCATCTAATAAATACCGGCTGGGAAATTGATGGTATAACTGAAAGAAACGTGCAGCACGAACTGCATTGAGTACTGCCTACAATCAAAGAGGTGATAGACAAGTATCGTAAAGCACTTAACAAACCTTTGCTAACTTTATAAAAGCTTTTTCCCAAGCCAGTGCTCTCCCATTCCCATCACCTAATTCATCAACCGCATTATTAACTGGGTAGGTAACCACAAATGCAGAAGCCTGAAAATCATAGATTTTAATAGAATTAGGATATAGGTAGGTACAACTTACAAAAGCAACAGATAAATAGCATTACCTCTGAATAGTTATTGCCAGGAAATCCTCCTAATGCTGTGCTTGGATCAAGTGGAGCCTTAAATGCACTCAAACATGTGTCCGCAGAAGTGTAATGCTGAGCGGAAAAAGGTGCAAAGGAGCAAAATAATTATTCAACTAAGCAAAAAACGACCTTTATTCACATACACAAAAAAAAAAAAAAAAAAAAAAAAAAAAAAAAAAAAAAAAAAAAAAAAAGGCAGAAATATTTAACACGAAGAAAGATTTGACTACAGAAACAGTGTCCCAGAAAAGCAGGATCAAAACTTTGGGTAAAATTTCCCATTGATACATTGCAGGTTTTTTTTTAAACAAAAAAAAAGGTACCAAAAGTAAGTACGTAATATATTTGTTATTGCCTAAGACCTATGTTAGGTTCCTGCCCAGATTTCCAATTAACACAACAAATATTGAAACAAATCCAACGTTGAGCCAAGCTCTATTATTAATTCCAAACACAACTCCCTCTCGAGAGATGTTCTTTCTTACACAGTTCAACCAAACAGCAAGAAAAAAAGAAGATTAGCAGAATGGAAATGGCAGAAATGAACGTAGAGAATTCGAGGTTCTCCGTCCTCCCAATGGTCCAGAATCTTTCCAAATTTCTCGACCCCCTCCCAAGGTCCTTCCTCGCCTAAAATACTTCCCAGCACTCCCCCCTCGTAACCAACTTGCCACCTTGGCACTTCTTTCACGTATTTCCACTTCCCTCCCCGCTACGCAACATATTCCCCTTTTGGCCCCTTTTCCTCGAGTAGACCAATCTAATAGGTGGCCTAACAACCTATTCGTCTAGTGGCACTAAAGGGTTTAGGTGGGGTGGGGTTTGGGTGGGGGGTTACGGGCTCAATCTGTATAAAAAAAAGTAATATATTTGTTATTTAAGAGAAAAAGAGACAAGTTTTGAACATCTATTCCACGGAACATTAATTAACCAAATGCTTGGAATAATATGATATTATAAGCCAAAAGAATGTCCAATAGTTTCCAAAACAATATTTAGATAGTAAAAACTAAACAGAAGGTGGCTGCACTAAGGCATACCTGAAAGCAATACTCTGCGTGTTCGACTCCTCCGTACGTGTCATAGTTTTCAGGGTCCATTTTATAATACTGTCTCAAGAGAAAGAAGGAACAAAAAATAGAAGTAGAAAAGTTTTATCCATAAAGCATAGCCAAAGTAAATCCTCCCTCAAATTACACCACAAGAAATGAAAAGAATATGCAAGGAAACCTGCAGAATACTTTGAGTGGCACAGTCCTGGCCGAGAGGCTTCAAGCAAATGTCAGTTAAAGATACCATTGAGCCAGAATAATTTGCACGAATTCCATCAACCTATCAAAATTGAGCAAACAGAACAAAATGGATATGAGAGAAGTCAGGGGGAGCGGGGAATGGTAGAGAGCAAAATCACAAGATAGCCCAGTTCAATAAGTAGCCAGCTCATTGAGAAGACACGAGAAGTTATACTACCTTCATTTGTATGTCAAAGAGTAACTGAATATTATCCTCTGTAACAATACTTGGGCGCTTTCCCAGATGTGGATCAGAAATGGTCGCTATTATGAGCTGAAAGAAAAGAAAAAACCAAGCGACTTATATTATAAACTTACTGTAACATAGATTAGAACAGATGATGCACAGCGTATAGAAATAATTGCATGTCATCGTAACAAAAGAAAATTCAATGTCCAAGTTCCTTCAAGACATGAAAAGGCCTTTATCGAGATCAGGGGAATGGAAATCAATTTAAAAGAAGAAAAAGAAAGTCCTGAAATCTGTTCATTTTGCATTACATGATTGATACACAGTAACATATGTAAAGAATGCTTCCCATCAACTTGTAAATAAAATTAGTTCTTTAAGCCAAAGAAATATTCAAAAAAACAATGCATGTAACAATGAAGTTCTCCACATTCAAAGAAACAACATTCACATCAACAGTTACGTATTGTTAAACACACAGGTCATAGGAAAAGGAAGTGATAGTTTAAATATAATGCTGACACCTGTTCTATCCTGTAGAAGGGAGCCAGACGGTTGTCAAAAAACTCTTTCTCTTCAGCTGCCCTACTTCCATGACCTACCCAAAGCTGCAATATTTTATGTGTCAAAACTCCACAAAGGTAAATAAGCGATTGCCCAAGTAGAACCAAAAACACCCTGAAACACTTCAAGCCAGCGTTTGGCAATGTTAACCTACAAAAGTGCAGTGCTAGTACCAAGAAGTTTCTGCAATTTTGTGTTAAACAAACACAACTTCTATCTAAACCAAATTTCCTATAAGCAACTAAACTTTCCAGACGTCATATTTTGAGCTTGATTCAATTGAGACATTCTTTTGTATTGTAAAATTTAGATTGGACTTTTAACTTGACGGGAACCTCAAAAAAGCAAAGCTGGTTTCAATAAAAAGTTCAATTAGAACATTTAAAAGATGAGAATCCTTAAAAAAAATAAAATAAAATAAAATAAAAAACAAAAACAAAAAAACAAAACAAAACATAAAAACATAAAAAAAAAAAAAAAACAAAACAAAACAAAATAAATGCACATTGTTTCGTCACTTAAATATGTAATTAACATAAGCTTCTTTTTTATTTCATACCAGATACCTCAACTTCTTGTTATATTGTGAAAGCCTCACCCCGTTATATCATATATACTCAGGCCTACGGCATATATTGTGAGCCAAATTCATAATAACTAATAACTTCCCAAACAATTTTCTTTAAACAGTACGAGAAAAATAACAGATAACGATAAAGTACCTTCTCTGGCCGTGTCTCCACCTTGAAACGAGCTAGACCAATACAGAAAATAAGAACAATTGCTAACGAGGAACATAGGACAAGAGTGGGATTTCTAGCAACCCAGGTTCCATAAACCCTGATAAAAACAAAATTATTTAATTATTCAAGGTATACTGAATACAATCTGAGGTATTGTAGAGTTGCAAACCTGAAAAAACTTGATACGTATCCTTGAATAGTGGATAATTGGACCTTGTTTGTAACTTGAGGAAACATCCCATCCACCTATGATTAACATAATAAGGCTTAAAATAAGCTAAAAATATTTTGGAAATGAACATCAACACATTCATGATAGAGATAGATACAAACACATATTGAGCCAAATCGTCCCAACTTAGAATTAACATATTTTCATAAACTCAGAAAAGATTATCACAGACCAAATGCTTATCCTCTCAAAACTTCATTATTCCTCGTGAAAAAATTATGATTTGGCATATTAGATTAGGACATCCTAGTTTTTCATATTTGAAATACTTGTTTCCGGATTTTTTAAAAAATGTGGATTGTTCATCTTTTAAATGTGAAAGTTGTCTGTTATCTAAAAGTCATCGTTCTACTTACAATCCAAAACCATATTGTGCCTCAAAACCATTCAATTTGATTCATAGTGATGTGTGGGGGCCTTCAAGAATCACCACATATTCAGGAAAAAAATGGTTTGTAACTTTTACAGATGATCACACTCATCTGTGTTGGATATATTTGATGACTGATAAATCTAAAGTAAAAAATGTTTTTAAACTTTTTTTAAATGGTTGAAAACCAATTTCAAACAAAAATAAAGATAATTCATTCTGATAATGGGACAGAATATTTCAATCATTTGTTGGGGAATTTTTTTTAAAAGAGAAGGGGATTCAACATCAGTCTACTTGTAACGACACTTCTCAACAAAATGGTATTTCAGAAAGAAAAAATAAGCACTTACTTGAAGTTGCATATGCTATTATGTTTTCAATGAATGTACCAAAATACTTGTGGGGAGATGCAATTTTAACAGCATCCTACTTGATAATAGGATGCCTACTCGTGTGCTAAAATATACAACACCTTTAGAGTGTTTCAAAAAATTTTAACCGGAATGTAGACTCTTTTATGATTTACCCTTAAAAATTTTTGGGTGCACTGTATTTGTCCACATATCTAGCAGACTTCAATCTAAACTCGATCCTAGGGCAAAAAAGTGTGTTTATTGGATATGCACCAAATAAAAAAGGGTATAAGTGTTATAATCCTCGAACAAAAAGGATTAATGTAAGTATGGATGTCTCCTTTGTTGAAAGTCGACCATACTTTGGAAAAACTGTCCTCAGGGCAGACTTCAAACTAAACTCGATCCTAGGGCAGAAAAGTGTGTTTATTGGATATGCACCAAATAAAAAAGGTATAAGTGTTATAATCCTAGAACAAAAAGTATGTACTAGATCTTCTTAAAGAGCCAGGTCTACCCGGATGGAGGGCGGCAGAAACACTCATTGATCCCAATGTGAAACTCCAACACACCAAACCAGAAGAAGTGAAGAAAAGAGAACAATTCCACATATTGGTTGGTAGACTGATTTATCTATTGCATACTCGTCCATACATAGCCTTTGCAGTGAGCATGGTAAGCCACTCTCTAGGTCCAGAACACTTTGAGGCCGTGTACAGAATCCTAAGATATTTAAAGGGTTCACCAGGGAAGGGCTTACTATTCAAAAGGCATGGTCATCTACAAATTGAAGTATACACAGATGCGGATTAGGCTAGAAGTACAATTGACAGAAGATTAAAATCTGGATATTGTACTTTTGTTGGAGGAAATCTTGTTACTTGGTGAAGTAAAAAGCAAAATGTAGTGGCAAGAAGCAGTCAGTTGCTCATGGAATTTGTGAAGTGTTGTGGATCAAAAGGATCTTAGATGAATTGAAGGTCATAAGTACTTCTCCCATAAAGGTGTACTGTGATAATAGAGTTGCAATCTCAATAGCTCATAATCGTATTCTTCATGATAGAACCAAGCATGTTGAGGTAAACAAGCACTTCATCAAAGAAAAGATAGAGAATGGACAGATTTGTATGACCTATATACTGACTGGTGAACAAGTTGCAGATGTTCTTACGAAAGGACTACCTAAGAAACAATTTGAGAAGTTGATTGGCAAGCTAGCTATGTAAGACATATTCAAACCAGCTTGAAGGGGAGTGTGGAAAAGAAGAACGATCTGCGGCTGATACTTAGAAATTATGGCAGATCTTTAGGGATTATGAGTTGTAATTATGTATTAAATATAGGCTTAGTCAACTCTGTAAAATTAGGAGAATTAGCTGTATGATTTTTTTTCCTTTTTTATAGCATCTTGTATTGCCTATAAGATCTGTACATGTACACTATTCAATATAATTGAATACCATTTTTCTCCATATATATATATATATATGTTGTGAGTGTGTGTGTTTCTGAATTAGAGGACAAATACTACTCAAATACCAGATTATGCTGAACGTCAAGGCTGAACATATCTGGAATGTATAAGATAATCACTTAGGGGCTATTTATTTCGTACGTTCAAACTCATGGTTTTGATTCCGCTTAAGTGTTTTCCTCTCATAAAAAATTTGAATTTTAAAAGCCAGAATTAAGAATCATTGGTTTAAACGCATGAACCAAACGGGCCCTTAAAAACTAAACAGCAAAAAACCCAAACGTACCACTGCAGTATTGCTTTCATTATTTTGCATTTTGACGGAGTCCAGTTCATCATGAAGAACATTCAATAATGGTTCCATGCCAGATGAAGGTGTCCTCCTCTCTCTTGTCCGACGAAACACACCCCACCCAAGGAACGCAGATACAAAAAGTATATACAGGATGGCTACCGAAAGTTCAATACATCTGACCTGCAAGAATTAACGAACAACAACTAAAGTCGTGAGGACCCATCAAAACGCTGGAAACACACACACTTTCATAGATAATTAAAGTGATTCCCAACAGTACTTTAAAAAAAAAAAAAAAAAAAAAAAGGTGTGAACTATAGGCTAGTGCATGAATCGATGAAAGAGAACCAAAAGATAATCATAAAGACAGAACATATCTATGTTGCATTAACTCCAACCTTAAGAGACCCAATTCTGATCGAACATGCCTCCTCTATGGACGGAGCAGGAGGTTCAGAACTAGAACATGAAGTAGATAGCGGGCAATCACCACAAGAACATCCGAGTGAAGTGTCAGCACAAGAATACACAGACACGTTCATTGGCTCCATTCCAGATGACTCGCTAACATTTGACTTAAAGTTGATGGAATAAGGGGAACCAGGAATGCCGGGGGCTGCTTTCGCACCAATAAATGCAAACCATTCTGTCAAGAGACAATTGAAAATAAAAATATTAGAATTTAAAGGAAAATAATTCGCCAAGTAAAAGAGACAAATATTCTACGCTTCAGGCAGGGCTTGACCAGCAAACAACCTCTACTTCACAATAATACCTAAACCCAACACAAATTGCTCCAATCAAATGAATAACATAGTTACTAACTTATCATTTTATCAATTTCAGTAAGCTACTTCATAATCTTGTTATCGTTTTACGCCTGACAGAATTTAGTTACCTTCACCCTAGTCCCATAATTAATGTTTAACGGTAACCTTATGTGATAACACAGGACTAATGGTAACATCAGAAGTGACAAAAACAGCCAAACTCTACCACCGGAAGGAAAAAAAAAAGGAACAAAACAAAACAAAACAAAACAAAACAAAAAACAAAAAAAAAAAAAACAAAACAAAAAAAAAAAAAAAACAAAAAAAAAAAAAAAAAAAAAAAAAACACATAAAGAACAAAAAAAAAACATAGAAAAAATGAACAGACAAATAGACCTGATACTACGACAACTGTTAGCTGCAAATTAAAGTGATAAAAAAAAACAAATAAAGGGAATTTCATGTTGATAAATCACCTACAAAATAGTAGGTTACCTTTAAAATTTTTAGCACCAGCACCAATAAATTCAATGGCCCGCGTGTTCATAGTCCCGAACTTTACATCCTTGCAGGAGTCGTAAAGCGCTTCACCAAAATTATCGCTTACGTAATAGTCAATGCTATCTACAGTCAGATTTCCATTAACCTGGAAAGAAATTGAACACAATAATGATTAGTGAGGCCACGTATGTAACTCATGTCAAACTTGCTCGCTTTTGTTGCATGAAAAAGTCAAAAAAAAAAACATGAAGGTTGTTTACCGAGCAGAATACTTAAAAAATCATTGGAAAAACTGATCTAGTTTTGCGCCTCAATTGGTGAGCACAACTCTATTATACAAGTTGAGTAAGTTATTTTGTTCAATTTCAATTTTCAGATCTATTAATAGTTGTTTGATCAAAATAAAAAAGGTGGAACCAAGACACATCGATACCCAAGCAGCTAGTTAGCATGACTCTGAAAGAGAGCCTTAAATCTCAGCCGCTTATAAGGAATGTATAAACCTTCATCAGCAGAATGTATTGAAGATATTTCAACAGCAAAAATCGACATGGAATGTCTCACAGGGACAGGATCACCATAAAAGTAAATAGCAGAACTAGTATGCCTGACCTCGGATGTAGAAGTAACATTGATGAATTTGCTCTGATTTGGAGAGCAAGAAAGTTCGCAAAAAAGATTTAGGAAGTTCCTCAAGCATGCTGGACAGCCAACAAGAAATGGAATAGCCTGCAACAAATTGTACTCATTGTAAGTTGGCTATGTACAAATGTAAGGAGTACTGAGATAATTAGTAGCAGAAATAAATATAAAAAAATAAAAAGAGAAAGAATTGCTAATATCTCAGAATAACAAGGCTCGACTCCTTCCAAACACAACTAGCATTACACCTTATATAAAGTGCACATTAGAGAATCCTTCCTCCAGAAACCAACAAACTAAAGTTATTAACAACACTGGGGCACTTTGACAAGGGGAAAAAAGATAAAAGATATAAGATATTCTAGAAAAATCTTACCAAAATCCAGGCATAAAAGACCATAGCATGCAATGTGCAACAAAATGGGGTACTTTAACAAAAATAAAATAAAATAAAAACTAAGATGCCCTAGAGAAAGCTGCAAGAAAGTTAGACATAGAAAACAATGGTATAAATAATATGTTAAGGTGACCAAACTGCTGAAAAATGTGGAGATCTCAAAACAAAAAATGACTAAATTAGCATAGCCTAAACCCAACATTAACTTATAAGGAATAAATCTTAATTGAGTATGCAAACTAATGCAAAGAAAATATTAATAAATTAAAGGAAAACAAACGTATGACCACTTTCCCCACAAAAGTCACAAAAATAAGAAAAGAAATGCACGCCCTATAGTAAAATCAATCTAGAAAAACTGATCACTTAAACTTCCGTACTATAAAACCATTTTAAGGACATGTCTTGGAACTAAATGTTAAATGCTAATAATAATGTTATGACTGAATGCATCATAAAGAGGTCTTACTTGCTGAACTTGTCCCCGCAACGTATCAAATTGGGTCTCGGTGCAACAAACATTTCCACTTATTGATGGACACAAACTTTGGATTTTCGCAGAAAACAGCTCATCAGGCTACAGAGGACACAATATGTTATAGCACCACTCAATATGCAGCAGTGAAGAAGATAATAAGAATTCTTCCAAAAATAATGAGGAGAGAGTAAGCTTGCATGTACATATCACAATAACTAACCATATACCTTAACCGAAGAGGAACCATAAGGGCAGTTCAGAACTTTCCCATCACTACGTTCTCCACATATATCATACATTGCACAGTATTCTTCATGATGTTTTTCACTGGCGAAACTTCAGAAGAATAACCGTATAAACAATTAACGTCTTATGACAGAAGATAAAAGAAAATTCAGTAGCCACTTAAGTCCAATAATAATAGTTTGAAGTCATCATTATTAAAGTGAGACAAGCAAGAAAAACTCCAGTTTCTTTATTAATTTACATGACACAACCTGCAAACTAGGATTCAAGGTATGGCAGAAAAAATAGAAATAGAACAAACAAATGAGTCCGAATGCTCAATGCTTAGAAATTATAGGAGGTCAACTTCTGACTTAAAGTGCCCAAAAACAAAAATAAATAATGAAAAAAAAAAAAAAAAAAAAAAGCTTTGAATACCTCTTCTCTGCACTCAGCAAAGATGCGATGAAAATAACCTACACCAACAAAATTTAGCAAAATGAATCAATTATTCAAAAGAGGAAGCCTCGCCCACCAAACGATTCAGCTACGGGGATAAAAATTTGAAGACAAATTTGAACTTCCGTCACTTGATCAAGCCAACCCATCCCGAAATTACAATTGGAAAGGAAGAAAAAACAAATACAAGAGCTTACAGGCAACCAAAAATATGAAAAAGAAAAAAGCCATCAATTGGCAAAGGGGGAAGAGAAATTACCTGTAAGAAAGAAATAGCGCCAAGGAAGCCCAGGAAGGACCCCATTTCACCTTGGGTAAATCACCTTTGGATTAGCGGAAGCAGCGTTGCCAAATGAAAAAAAGAAAAAATTATATATATATATATATATATATTGTGTGTATGTATATATATAGTGATCCAACCAAAAATCAAAAGGAAAAAGGGGAAAAAGAAAGAGAAATGGTGGGACTTGAACGCTTGCTAGCGGTGGGTTACTTGTTCGCACAGCAAACGAGCCCAGCAGAGTCAAACATGATTTTGATTTCCTCCGAATGGCTTTACGACACACGGCGCAATTAACCGCTGTCGTTTTCCCTTTCTGCAAATTACTGAGAAAACGACACGTAACATTACTCCGATCTCTGTTTTCTCTCGTGGCGATGGGAGATGCCAAGATATTGACACTTCAACACTGGCATCTAACGCCGTTAAGTAACGTCGTCGTAATGAAAAGGATAACGTCAAATGCGGACGTAACGGACCCACCCACTCTATCTCCTCCCGTGTTGTTTCTCTCTCTTAGTCTTCGTGATATTTTGTTGAGCAACAAAATTCGCGCCATTATCGTTGGAAGAAATTCTGAACAAAAAAAAAAAAAAATTTTGAATGTCTCTCTCCTAGGGTTTAATACGTACCGCCATCGCCGATCATCGTCGTGTACCATCTCTGAAAAGAGATTCGGATGTTTCTCCAATCTTCTGAAATGTCTTTGGAAGAGAATCGCAGCGAAGAACGTCTGTTGCACTTCACTTGAACTACAATGAACGAAACTGAAAACCCTAACGGAAGTAGAAACTCCTAGAACAGAGGAAGGAGATGAAAGGCGTAAGCTTTGCTTTGGCACCGGCTTTTATATAGGGATCGGTAGTATGGCGTTACATCTAAGCTACGACTCCAACGGCTATCTTGAAAAATGTTTTTCTTTCTATTTTTGTTAAAAAAAAAGAGCAAATAAATAAATAAATCTATATGAAGACACTATTTTAATTTTTATCTATCAAATTACGCCACTTTTTTCTGAGAGGATAGTCACATTTAAATTAGGAATTTTCTCTAGTGTTTTCTGTTTTATGTTTATCAATTTTGAATCTGTATTAAATTTAATTAAAAATTAAATTAGATTAAAAAAATACAAATTTAATAACTAATAAATAAAAAACATCAGTATTTTAAAAAAAAAACACTAAAGGAATTTTCTCAAACTTATATTAAATTAAAAAAATATATGACGGTTAACATTTAAAATGGTAAGAAAAAAGTGTGTCCTATTAGTAGACTATTTTTTTCTTATTCCATCAAAAATATTGAAAATATTAAAGAATAAATATATTAGGAAACCAAGGTTTTTTTTCACGTTGATAAACCAACGATGATAAAACCAAGGTGTTCATCCCTTATTAATCGACCATTTTTAGCTGTACCAATCAAATCAAAAGGTCACTTTTAGAAAGTTCATCCAACTTAATCTGAAATTTATTATCCAATCTAATTAATCCAATAAAAATCGACTGAATTTGATTGAACCAACCGGTTTTTTTCTTGGACCCGTTTTGTTAGGCTTTGAAACTGTTTTCTCATTCTTTTTAATCTTTTATTTTCCTTTTCATATGAAAAGGCTACCTTAAATCTTTGTCGCATGTCAATAGCTACTAGTTCGAACAGTATGGTAGAGCAGGGTCGTTTGAGTTTGAGAAGGATCGGGTCAAAAAAGATAGTTAATTAATTAAACATGTAACAAATTTCAATCAATAATATACATATATATTAGTCCTTCAAAAAAAAATACATATCAAAAAAGATAATTAATTAATTAAACATGTAACAAATTTCAATCAATAATATACATATATATTAGTCCTTCAAAAAAAATAAACATATATATTAGTAATTATATAAATTTTTAAAATGATATATCTGGGTTGGGTACTTATATATAAGTATTATAGTTGTTTTTTTTTTTTCAAATGATATATCTGGGGTTAGTACTTCAACCAAGATGGGTTATCCTTCCATTGCTTCTGGCCTTTTTTTTTTTCAAAAAGCTTGAATTCTTGAAAAAAAAAATGACTCCGTTACCATTTTTTTTTTCTTTCCCACGCTTGAAATGCACATCAAATGATCAATTTGCTTGTTTGATTTGGAGCCAGTCTTTCTTCAATCTTCCTTAAGCCACAGATCCCTTTTGGTTGCTTTCTCTGGCTTTTTCCAAATTGACTAGAGGCTATTGATCTCAGAGACCTGATCTAAAAGGGTCTCCGTAATACAAGTTTCAACCAGCACTAAACACAGAGAAAACAAGACTTCTCAATCAGTACTCGGTGACAACCAAATCAATCCTCTTGTCCATCATCATACAGTTATGCAAAAACTCAACCATAAAGCGGATATCTCCGGCTTTTAAATGAGAGTAATCTCCAGCAACAAATTTACAAGTTGTGTTACCAACATGTACTAAACTGTAACCAGCAACAACCTTCACTCCTCTTTCCTTCCCCAACCTTCTCATATTTGCAGCATCAGCCCAAAACCCATCTGCAGCATACATACCAGAAGCCAGTAAATAGCCAGTCGAGTTCAAAGGCTCCAACTCAAGCACACGAGAGGCGGCTTCCAAACCGAGCTCGCTGTTCCTATAGCTTCGACAAGCACTTAAGACTGCACTCCAGGCATTTGCACCGGCCTCTAATCCTTCGGGCATTTTCTTTATGAAGTCCATTGCAGAGTTGAGGTTTCCTGCTCGACTCAACATGTCTACCACGCAGGAATAATGTTCCAGTGTAGGCTCAACCCCATGATCTCGAGCCATCGAGTTGAAGAAGGAAAGACCCTCCTCAAGTAAGCCTCCGTGGCTGCAGGCAGACAAAACACATAGAGTGGTCACAGCATTTGGCTTCAGACCATGCAGTTTCGTTTCAGCATGCAAAGCTAAGGCTTCACGCGCAAGACTATTCATGCCATATGCAGCTATCATAGCACACCATGAGATGATGTTTTTCTCGAGAATTTGGTCAAAGGCCCTTCTAGAGGCTTCTATTGCCCCACATTTCGAGTACATGTCAACAATTGCTGTTCCAACTGCTACTTCTGCAGCCAAACCTCGTCTCATTGCAATCGCATGTGCCCACATTGACCTCTTCAATTCAGCTAAAACTGAGCACGCCTCTAGAAGATTTAGAATGGTAATTGCATTGGGCTTCTGTAGAGCATGTTGCATCTCTTCAAAGACAGCAATTGCATCATCGGGTCTGCCGCTGTGGGTGAACCCTGCAATCATAGTGCTCCACAAAATCACATCCTTTCTCTTGATCCCATTAAAAAGTTTCCTTGCGGGCTCAGTGAGACTGCATTTTGCGTAAGCATCTATTAGAGTGTTCATTACCATTTCATTTGACTCATATCCCCTCCGTATCATTACACAATGGACTGATTTGCATGACAAGGGATCCACAAAATGCTTACATGTTTGAAGAATATTAACAAGCGATACCTCATCTGCTTCAATTCCATCCTTTCCCATACAATAAAACAATGATAGAGCCTCCAAATGCTTTTCATTCAGGACAAATCCAGATATTATGGAGTTCCATGACACATTATTTCTCCGACGCATCTCCTTGAAAACCTTGAAAGCAGAATCAGCATCACTGCACTTGGAATACATATCAATTAAAGAGTTTCCAACAAACAGATCACAATCCAAACCTCTACGTATGACCAACCCGTGGATCAATGTCCCCATCGTCGCGTCCCCTAAATCCGCACATGCCTTCAAAACACCAACCATAGTGACTCCATCCGGTTCAGTTCCATCCTCAGATGACATCTTGAGAAACATCTGCAGGCCAAGTTGAGATTCCCCGTCATGCACATAACCCCCGATCATCACACTCCAAGAGATGACGTCTCTTTCAAGCATTTCATCGAACAACTTCCGAGCACTACCCATGTCGACGTCTGCATACATGCTCAACAAGGAGTTTTGAACTGAATGAATAGCCAAAAACCCACCATGGATAACATAACCATGCATTGTTTGCCCTTCTTTCTTTGCTCCAAGAGTACGACATGCCTGAATAACAAGCACCAGGGTAGAATTATTAGGTTCAAACCCAGCAAGCCTGGCCTTTTTAAACCACGATAATCCCTCTCCTAAAGCACCCTGATCAAGATACCCATAAGCCATGATATTCCAAGAAACTGAGTCTCTACTCCTCATGCAACTGAAAACACCCAAAGCATCATTTAAGCAACCGTACTTAGAGTAAAAGTCCATGGTGGAGTTACTGATGGAAGTGTGTGATTCTAATCCCAATTTGATCAAACACCCATGTACTGATTTTCCATAGCTGAAAGAGACATTTGAACATGCTTTTAGAATAGAAGGGTACACTGTAGGGTCTAGTTGAACTCCAGCCTTCTGCATTTCATGAAAGTGGCAGAGAACTGCTTGCCATTTCCCACTACTCCTCAAGTCTTTGACCATCAAGTACCAATTCGAGAGCTTTTGGCTCAATTGCATTGGGATGGTCGGTAGGCGCATTTGTGCAGAGATGCATATGGGACAAGGATTTCTTTTTTAGTGCAAGGCTCTTGAAGAAGTATATGAGTAGTCAATTTGACAATATTGACTAGTAGAGATCAAAGAACAGAATATCTGTAAAAGCAACATCTATGTATAGTGGGGTGTGACTAGCCGAAATACATTAGATTTCAAGGTTGGGAATACCAATTTACAAGAGAGGCCAAATTTAATAACTCCTTGGTTAACAGACAAGACTTCGCAAAACGTAATTATAGTGTTTTTCCGTTAAAACGGTTTCAATGCTATTATGGTCCATGATTCAAGATATACAAATGGGGATGATTGTCTTGTCCATTCCCCCTGTTTGGTAAACACTTCCCAAAAACCACAATTAAACTCGTTAAACAAAAACAAAAAAGAGCAAAAAGGAAAACATTTCTGAAGCAATGGAACTTTTTTTTCTTTAATATTTCTATTCTTTGGGTAACAAGATTTCTTTGGGTAACAAGATTGAATTACAAGGGATGTGTTACACGTGTCAAAAGAGGGAAGAGGGGTGAGGGGGGGGAAAATCGTTATTCATTGATATTACAATTTTGAAGGTAAGGGTTATCGAACATAACGTATTTAGACCAGTATGACTTGTACTTGGAAATAGCAAGATCCAACCAAGGTTTGTAGTTTCCATTGTAATGGATGACAGCTGCATTCTCTATCGCCGTTTGGTTGAGAGCCGGGTCATAGCCAAGTCCTAAGACATGCCAGCCACGGTCAAGAGGATGAGTGAGATTGTAAAAAGTGATCAGTCCTGGCGGCAAAGTGCCAAGTTTCCAGAGAGTTCTATCTTCATTCTGCCATAAACAACGAATTTCTCCATCAGTTACAAAGTAACAAGAACTATCTCAAAAGTAACAAAAAACAAAACACATCACTTTTTCAAGAAACTGAACCAAAGACTTAGTAGAAATGCTGCATATCTGGTATAAGTTTCGTGTTTAGTTTTTTTTTTTTTTAAATTGAAAAGAATGTTGGAGATGCTCTTAACCAGCATCCACCATCCACCATCCACTTAGCTTTTGTTTATGAAAACAATTATATGTTGTTAGAAAAGCCCATGTGAAATCTATGCCCACAAGAAAACATAGAAGCTTGTGCTCCTATGATGGGGATAAATGGCTCGCATGACCATGAATCACAAGCAACAAAGAGCTAATGTACCCAACTTAGATTGCCAAGGCTCAAGAAAGAAAAGAGAAATGGGGGCAATAGAAGCAAAAGACTGGTGAAAGTTACCGCATCTTGCCAACGATGATAAATTCCAGTAATGTTTCGCTTCTTCCACTCCTTCAAGTCAAAGATATTCATGCCATATGCCCAACCACAGGCATTCGGATCAAAGTTCTCGGAAATCATTGGGTTTGAGAAATTGAGATACTTATCAAACCTATGAAAGCTCTCCTTACAAGTCTCTACAGCACCATTCACCATCCCTTGCAGATCGACAGACCAAAGAGGAGTCAAATCCTTTTGCACTACTATATCATCGTCCAAGAACAAGATCTTCTCCAACTTCGGATAAACTTCAGGGAGATAAAATCTAAGATGATTCAACATGGATAGGTATTTAGGATTTCTATATTTGAGATTGTCAGACCCCAGAGAGAGTGAAGAAGGATGATGTGCCTTGAAATAATATTCTTTAAGTCGGGCAGATTCGAGCTGACGAAGGACAGAACAGTAGGAGGAATTCAGCCACTTGAAATCATCAATGTTTTCAACTTGGATGGTTGCTCCTGCAGGAGGGTTGGCGATAAACCACATTTTCATGGCAGCGAAATTCAGTTTATCAGTGACAACATGGAAAACATGTTTCTCAGGTTCCTTTGCATGCAGTACTGTGGAATTGATAACGACCGATGTTGCTAGGACATTATCTGAAAAGATAGCATAATGGTATAGAGAAGGATTTTTAAGCTTTTCTTTGTTATCATCCTTTCTGCTATGATATCCCATAAGGAAATAGTCTGCTGCGAGCCGCAGAGGAAGGCAATGTAATGGCTTTGGGACTGTTTTCGCGGCAAGTTGAATCAAGAATGCACTCTTCTTCTTTTGTGCATTTACATTCTCTTCGGTTGATTGAAGCATGGCTCTAAATTTCTTTGCCATAATAGAGCAGTCATATAATTTGTCCTTTGCCATAGAGAGAATGTGGCCCATTGCTTTCGCTTGCTCAAGAGCTCTGAAAAGTAGGAAGCAAACAAAAACTCTGCATAAGAGCAAAGGAAAGAACATATGACTTGTTATAAAGATAGGAAATACCTAGGTTGAAGCTCAGCATCAGAATTTGCTTCTCCAATAGCTCGCTGGCTTCTTCTGGATTGTGCCATGAGAGAATCAAAAAGACTACTTTCATTCTTGGTCTTGGCAATGTTTGCATAAGCTTTTGCCATTATGATCTGGTCTCTCATGAGTTTCAAAGTAGAATCAGAGTTAGGGTTATCATAGTCTCTCCTCCATATGCTGTACTTTCCCTTGACAGTGGTGTCAAGATTTTTAGAGCGTTCAATTGCTGCTTCTACCATCTGATTGTCAGCTTCTTTATCTTGGCTTAGTAGCTCTGCCGTTAGAAGAATTCTCCTTTCTTGCCGCATTTTCTGGGAACCAGAAATACATTAAAATTTTAATCCACTACACTAAAAACATTCTTTCACAAAGAAAATAATGCACTAGAGAGTTCACCTTCCGCATGAGCTTCACTGGACTCATTGATGGGAAATGAGGATATTGGATTCCATCTTCTAGTCCAGATTGATTCTCATCTTTCTCCTTGAATTCCAAAGATAAGTCCTTCACTGTCTGAATATAAGAAAAGAGTCAAGGAAGATCACGAGTCAATGTCTGTAATCTGTATACAGAAATAATAACTTGCATAACGTGAAAGCAGATTTGAAAGAGATAATCTGCTATATTTTATTCATTGTGGTGGAAATACATTTAAATAGGCAGCCAAAGTAAAAGAATAAAGAAAATCTCCCTGTGGCTGATTTGCTGTAACAATCAAATCAGATTTTATTGAATAAAAACTAATCCTAAACAACTGGATAACCAATAAGGGAAGATTTGAATATTTCAAATTAATTCAAAATCTTCTAGATTGATTTATTCCAGTAGAATCAGATCAAATCAATTTGATTTGATCTGCCGACACTCCCCCTCAAGCTTGGACGTAGATGTCTATGAGTCCGAGCTTGCTTGCTAATGCTTCAAATGCTGGTCCGTACAGTCCTTTTGTGAGAATATCAGCCACTTGTTGCTTTGTAGGAATATATCCCACACTGATTATCCCACCCTCAATTTTCTCTGTGATGAAATGCATGTCCACCTCCACGTGTTTAGTTCTGTCATGATGAACCAGATTATGTGCTATGCTGATTGTAGCTTTGTTGTCACAATAGAGCTGCATAGGGAACTCACAATCAATTCTTAATTCTTCCAGTAGTCGCTTTATCCAGATTGCCTCACAAATGCCATGAGCCATAGCCCTATATTCAGCCTCAGCACTGCTCCTTGCAACTACAACCTGTTTTTTGCTACGCCAAGTCACCAGATTTCCCCAAAGCAGAGTGCATGCAATATCCAGATGTTGACCTCCTATCTTTTTCAGAACCTGCCCAATCTGCATCTGTGTAGATTTTTACTTTCCTATCTTCGTTCTTTTGAAAAAATAGTCATCTCCCTGGATTCTTCTTGAGATATCTTAATATACGATAAACTATATCAAGATGTCTTTGGCACGGTGAATGCATGTATTGGCTTACCACACTAACTGCAAATGCTATGTCCGGTCGAGTATGTGAGAGATAGATCAGTCTTCCCACAAGCCTTTGATATCTACCTGTATCTACCGGATTTCCATCAACCAAATTCTTCCTTCCTTTCGGTTCAATCGGAGAGTCTATGGGCTTGCAACCGAACATTCCCGTCTCTTCTAATAAATCCATCGTATACTTCCTTTGTGATATGGAGATTCCCTTTTTACTCCTTGCAACCTCCATTCCTAGGAAATATTTCATGAATCCCAGGTCCTTGATCTCAAATTCCCTTGCCATAATCTTTTTAATTTCTTCCATCTCTTGAAAATCATCTCCAATCAATATTATGTCATCCACATACACAATCAAAACTGTAACCTTGTTGTTCGTTGAATGTCTGACGAAGATAGTATGATCTGTTTGTCCTTGTAAGTATCCATGACCTGTGATTACTTTGGAAAATCTTTCAAACCCGGCCCTGGGTGACTGCTTTAGACCATATAGCGACTTCTTCAGCTTGCACAATGTATTGTCCCGTTTACCTTCATAGAAACCAGGTGGGAGCCTCATTACTTCTTCTAACTCTCCAATCAGTAAGGCATTCTTCACATCAAGTTGGTACAGAGGCCAATCCATATTTGCTACTAAGGACAAGAGAACTCGAACAGTGCTGAGCTTTGCAACTGGAGCAAACGTTTCTATGTAGTCTATCCCGTAGGTTTGTGTGAAGCCCTTTGCCACCAATCGGGCTTTGTACCGCTCCACTGAACCATCTAATTTTACTTTAATTGTGAACACCCACTTGCATCCCACTACTTTCTTGTTTTGTGGTAGTTCCACTAGACTCCAAGTCTCATTTTTCTCAAGGGCACGCATTTCTTCTAGCACAGCAAACTTCCATTCTGGGACAGCTAGCCTATCATGGAGAGTTTCGGGATTACCTGAGGATGAAGGACTAGAACCCACCATAGGTTTGGATTCAGGGCAGCCCGTAGTGCCTGTGAGTTGTTTATTTCCTTGAAAAATTTTCCTCTGGGAGTAGACTTGCAGTTCTTGCCGATTTGAAACTGAAGGAGATGGTTGTGGAATTGGCAATGAAGATGGCTGCGGGGTTGGCTGTGAAAGTGGCTGGGAAGATGGCTGCAGTGGCTATGAAGATGGTTGTGGAGCTTCAGGCTCTGTTTTGGTTTGGGCTGGAGCTAGAATCTCAACAATGGTGGCTGACTGTGGGGCCGAAGTTCCTTCAACTGTGGGTAACGATTCTTCGACCGTGGTGTCCCATTCCCACCCATAAGCTTCTTTACCACTACTCTCCCCATGAAACGAAGTGTGGGAATAATATGGTATCTCTTCAAAGAAGGTGGAAAATTGAGAAAGAACTAGAATATTTCTCATTGAATAATGAATAGCGAAAATAAGTTTAAATAGGAGGAGATGCCCCAATCAATTCCTCAAAACAAGGAACTGATAAACTAAAACAATATCTCTAATCCTATGAAAGATAATAAACAGGAAAAATAAATGAGAGAATCAGGTAAGTCATCATCCGAATCTCTTTATTTTAGGAACTAAAAGACTAACTTAACCCTAGTAATTTAAATACTGAATTTCCACGGTAACATCTTGGCTCGGGTAACAAAAGTTTTTTTTTTTGTTTTGGAGCAGAAACATCGATATCCCTTTTTTGTTGGAGAATAGCCAAGAAATAGTCTTTATGGCTCGGGAGTCGAGTTTGGAGCGGTGTTGGGAATGGACATGGACGAATGCAATGCAGCCAAAGGTTTTGAGAGGAAGGTTATTGGTGAGGATATTCAGGTGTGGAACTTGAGTTGTAAGGACAGACAATGGGGGTTTAAATTTGAGGGGGCGGCTAGGTAATCTATTGATAAGAAAGGCAGCGGTTAAAATGGCATCACCCCACAGATATTTGGGTACATTCATAGTGAACATAAGGGCACGGGCCACTTCCAGTAGATGTCGATTCTTTCTTTCTGAAACTCCATTTTGCTGTGGTGTATCAGTACAAGAACTTTGGTGAATGATTCCATGATGGTCAAGATAATTACCCAAGTTGACTGGAAATATTCACCACCATTATCAGTTCTTAAAACTGAAATTTTTTTTTGAAATTGAGTTTGAACCATTTTATGGAAGGTTTGAAAAATTTGGCAATTCTGTATTTTGGCATTACGGTTGGCAAAGAAATTAAGGTTCAAAGAGTGGCTCTGATACCATGAAAGCAGATTTGAAAGAGATAATCTGCTATATTTTATTCATTGTAGCGGAAATACATTTAAATAGGCAGCCAAAGTAACAGAATAAAGAAAATCTCCCTAATAATGTGGCTGATTTGCTGTAACAATCAAATCATATTTTATTGAATAAAAACTAATCCTAAACGACTGGATAACTAAGGGAAGATTTGAATATTTCAAATTAATTCAAAATCTTCTAGATTGATTTATTCCAGTAGAATCCGATCAAATCAATTTGATTTGATCTGCCGACACAATGATATCCCGTGATACCAAAAAAAATAAAAAATAAAACAAAATAAAACCACCAGAATATCAGAGCTTGTGAGAATATGTTATGCCTTTTTCTTTTATATACACGGTTTATACAACTATGAAAGGGATCAGCTTATTCAAGATTCTTAGTTTTAAGCTAACCTGAGAAATACCTGCAAACTATTTGGCTGGACATGCTTTACATCGTTAGGGTTTTCTAAGACCCAAGAAGCAGATAGGTCTTTCATTTTCACCCTTCTAAGCTGAACAGCACCACTAGTGTCCGTGTATGTCACTGTAATGTCAATATCCTATATCAAACGAGATAAAAATAAGTATTGCTCCTAATGACATATACCCTGCAGATAATGTACCCTCCAAGTACGAAATACCTTTTGATCTGAAACAGAACCAAGTCCAGTAACAGAGGAAGCATCTTCTTCCTGCCAAACAGCAATGACCCAACAAACTAATTTCATGCAACACAATACATAAATTATGCACAAAAGTCATCGTTTTGACAAACAAGAGGTGAATGAATGTAAATGAATACATTTGTGTGCCTTCACGTGCGCATCTATATGCACGTAATGCTTATATGAAAGTATGTACGCTTGCATGTACAAATTTGTATACATCACTTTAGTCATTATGTATGTTTTAGCAACCACTGGCACACCCTCATTATTTCTATTCAGCCATTTTACTTCATATAGAGTCGTATTTTCAGCTGACACACAAGGGCATGCTATTTTCTACTCAAAAATTGTTCAATTACCATTAACAATCTTAAGATTTCTGAACATTGAAACTCCTTAAACATCATTGGCATGCATATAAAACTAAAGACTTGTTTCTTTCATTAAACAGTTCTGTCTTTTCTGCTTAACATCAGTTAAAAGATAGAAATAAAATCGTATTTGCTTCAAGAAATAAAAAAGGATCCAAACCTTTCCTCCCAGGCACTGCTCACAGTCAAATAATAGTTGATATCCATGGACATCTCGCTGGCTGAAAAATGAATTAAGAAAATTTTCCATAAGTAATCCATACGCGAATCAGTTTTCAAGAAAATCATAAAATTATAAAATTATACGAGTGATTACATTGCCGAAGAATCTGAAACATCAGCTCTAACAACAGCAACACGCACAACGACCTGCACAGATATTAAAATTAAGCAAAAATGTAATTAAATCATTTGGAACAGAGATGGAAATTACTAATTACTCGACGAAGTAGCTGCTCCAAATTACTAATTACTCGCCGAAGTAGCTGCTCCAAAAACCCGATGTTATCGATAATAAATGCACTAAGGCAAGTTTCAAGTGACAGGAATTTTGCATTCTATAGCAAGAAGAAAACGGAACAGTCCTATTCAGCGTAATAGCGTGTGATCTAAGAAATCCACACCGATCCGCCACAGAAAACCCTAGAAAACCTCAATCAAAGAGAGAAAGAACACTGCGAATGGACGATTAGGCGTGCGTAACTGTGATTCCGAGGAAGAAAGCTAAAAGATTGAAAGCTAGGAGCAGAATCCATCAAAATGGATGTATTTTCTTGAACGAACAGCAAATGAAACGATCAAAGGAAATGCGAACAGCGAGATTCGAAATTTGATAATTACCAGCGAAACGCAGAGGAGTAGCAGAGAATCGAAGGTCCAAGACGCTATTGGAAGAGGCTTCATTGACGAAAGCGTGGAGAGTCTCTCAGAGGCGTAGTGGTTTTGTTTCAGTCGAAGTGAAAAGCGGTTGTTGTTTCCATAGGATTACGGTTTGCCCCGCCTCCTTCGTTCTTCTCTCTGCTTCTTCTTCTGCTTCTTCTCCCAGCGCGCGAGGGACGCATACTTCTTACGGGTGTTCAAAACATCCGCTAAACCGCAAAATTAATCCAAATGGAACCCAACTAAATCGTTAATTATTTTTAAATTATTAAACAGTTTGATTGATTTTTTAATTTAATTTTTTAAACGGTTTGATTTATAATTTTGACTCCTCAATCCACCTAAACCGTATAATTCACTTAAATATATATATAATTTTTTAAATTTTTAAATTTTTTAAATATTTTTTATGTTTATTTTAATTTTTATTGGTCATAATAAAAGTTCTACACTTATAAAATACATCATATTATATTTTTGTTAGTTTGTATTAAAATTTTAAATAGTGAACTTTCATACATTTATTATTTTTGAGTTATATTGTAAATTTGAAACTTATTTTTATTTTTATGGATTAACAATTTTATAATTTTTATGAATTATTAAAATCTATTTTAATTTTAAAATCAAACAGCTCAAACCGCTTACAAGTGATTTGTTCAATTTGTTTTTTGTCAAAAATATCAAACCGCTCAAACTGTCTAAAATAAAAATTATTTTTAGTTTGGTTGGTGTTTTTTTTTTGGGGGTTTTTAAAAAAAAAAAAAAAAAAAAAAAAAAAAAAAAAAAAAACAGCCCAAACCGACCGCAAACACCCCTACTTCTTATGTCTTTCTTCTTTCGTGAAGAAGCACGCGACTAGGGGTGTAAGAAATGAGCCCGAACCCGCCCGAGCCAACCCTACCCTACCCGAATATAGTGGAATTTTTTTTTAAATTTTTTTGGATACATTACCCCTAAACCCGCACAGTGCGGGTCGAGTTCCGGGTCGGATTCAGTTGAACCCGAGGAAGCTGACCCGGCCGAATGTTTATTACCCTAGGGTTTGACATTAGTAGTCATCCCATTATTTCCGTTCTCCTTCTTCTTCTTCTTCTCATTCATTTCCTATTTTTCTCATTATTCTGCAATGAGAGTTGGAACCACTTTTTTAGAAGTTTCAGAGGGGGAAACAAACCCTTAGACTGTGTTACCTCCGACTTCGCTTCTTCTTCTTTCGTCAGTATCAAGCACTCCCAGCCCTTGGATTCTCGTGAAGGTTATTGCTTTTTTCCCCCCTTTTCCTTTTCCTTTTGATCAAGTTTGGTTGGGTTTACGCATGTCGGATGCTTTGTCATTAGGGTTTTGGAGCAATGTTGTTTCTGATGGTCTTTTGGTGTATGATTTCGTTACTTTTAGGATTTCAAACACTCTATGTGTTGTGGATTTTTTACTTTCAATTGTTTTAGTTTTTGGACTAATTGGTTATGGAGATTGTTTCGCTTGTTAATTCTTCTGCTCTTTCTGAAAAATATTGCACCTTTTATCAAATTCCTTTTGAGAAATCGTGAGAGCAAATTAGTAAAAAAAGTCAACACATGTGGTGTGCTGGCATCAATCATAACCAATTTTTGGAGCCTAGAGTCAAGCGTGCCTTGATTGATGAAGGGACGAAGATTTTTAAAAAGTTCACAATAAGACTTCTATTTTCCTCTGTATTAGTGATAACTGTATGTGTAACCTGAGTAAATAGGCTGTCGGGCCTGGCATAAATGGCCCAATTTTTCACAATAAGGTTGCCGGCATAAATGGGCTACTATTAGGTTTTCTTGATTTGAAGTAACCCGAGTAACCCGAGCCTACCCAAGGTCACCCGACAGGTTACAGGTTTATGGGCTTATGAGGGTGTTGCAGCCCAAAATTTTCCCAACCCGCACAGTGCGGCTCGGCCCAATTTTTCGGCCTAACCCGAGCCTACCCGGCTGAATTACACGCCTACACACGACTTCATTGCAAAAACAATTTGTCATTTTACGGATATTATGATAGTCGTTATTGGGGATTGCACTAAAATTTCTCAAGGAAACGCCATGTCGTTGTTGGATGACACGTTTTTCCAACAAGCCTAAACGGTAAATAGTATTTCAAAACACAAAAGTATAAACGCTAATGCTTATACAAATGACTTAGCAATACAAGTATAACTTAATCCTGACTATTGATTTGACTGGTTCTACCACCTATTGGGAAAGCGCGAAGGGAAGAAAATGTGCACTAAGCTCCTACAACGGGAGGCTGGAACGGGGAATGAGCAAACATATGGCTCTTTGAAAACACACCTCTGCAATTGATGAAAACACACTCTGATCAATTGAGTCTAAAATACCTGTATTCCAAAGGTCACCTACTAACACCGTCAAAAAACATCTCAAGCGAATAGAACATAACAAAATAATGAGTCAGCGAAAAAACCACCTCCGTTATTAAAAACTTAAAACAAACACAAGAAAACAAGACATAAAACTTAAGCGGTGGAAAATACATCATTGTTATTCGACATAACCATATACTGCAAAATGGAAGTGAAAACTTAACACCACAGTAAAAAAAGAAAAACGGAAACAAGGCAGCTCATAAGGCCAAAGAAGCCAGCGAAAGCAGATCTGAAATGTGCCAGAGTCGCCGCAGCTAAAGTTCCATCAAGCCATTTCGTGAAGGCACCTATAGTCGCCGAAGGCCAACCCTCCCAACACGCTCTCTCCTAAGAGAGTCATCACACTTTAAGAGCCCAAACCCCCGAAGATGCCCACCTCCTAAAAACTAACGCAACGTGAGGCACCCCTGACCATAGAGAAACCCCACCCAAGCTCACGACCACAGCCACAAACGGAACCAACACTGAGATCTACTCCAACGAGAGAGACAAAGCCCAAAGGACGCAATATCGTAGGAAATCTGACACTCCCAATGGAGGCAAATGAAGTCTGGCATTTTCTACATGTTGATATTCGATTTTGTACCAGGCCCATTCGAGGGTCCAAGCCCAACCATGGCATCACACAACATTATTGGGCTTGCTTCGTGAACTCAAGCCACGCTCTCCTGTGGGTTATGGTTTCGTGGGTCATGTGTGGTCAAGTAGGCCCGTTTGTCATTTGATTCGATCCAATTTGAATCCCACTTAGAAGTTTTCAGAATTAATCGGATTAAATACAAATAGGTGATGGAGAATTTCAAAAAAGCCTCCCTCTCGTCCTTCTAGAAGCCCAAAATTCCTAAGTCCACGCCTTAAAACCTCTTCCTCTTTGTCAAAATTGATTCTCAATGCTTTGACTCCAACAGAGGTTCTAACGAAGCCTCTTTCGTGTCATGCATCCTTCTTTTGAACTTCTTCTCACCCAGCTCACCATCAAAGCAATCTTCGTTTGGAGCACGATCACCCTTCGAAGCAGTTTCACTGAAAGCAGCCCTCGTATGAAGCATGCTCACCGTCGAAGCAGCTTCATTTGAAGTAACTGTCATGTCATAGCCAACTTGACAACTGCTTAGCCTATATCGTATAAATCATCTCTAACAAGGTCTGATATGCGATTAGACCTCCAAAAGAGGAAGTTAACGGAGCACAAAATTAAGTCAAGCACTATTGAGAATTTCAAACCTTGGAACTCTTCACGTCAGTTTCAAATCCAGAACTTTGCCTCCAAATCTTTCCATTTTCTGATATTTTCCTTGTCAATCGGGAAAGTCACCTGATCACTTTAATCTAAAGAATTGTGTGTGCAAGTCCATCAGAGCGTCCTTGATTGAGCTTTGGAGCAGCCACCATGAACCTTTCTTTCCATTTTCGGACCAGCTCTTCTTCAATCCCGGAAAGACTTCTGATCACTTTGCTCCATTTGGATTGCGTATGCATGCTTCCTTCAGAGCATCGCCGATTCACCTCTAGAGCAAGTCCCAAGAAGTCTTCATTCTATGTACAACCAATTTCCTTTTCAACTCTAGAAATGTGCCAGAAAGTTTTGCTCCATCGGGATTGCTTATGCAGGCGTCCGTCAAAGCATGTTGTACGGACCTCCGGAGCTGCTGCCAAAATCCTACCAACTTCACTTCTAATACCCCCCCTATCTCTTTCATTTCACAAGTTTAATCTATCATCATCACCAACCACTACTTTCATCCTCTTTAGATCACTCTATTCCACTAGACTTCTTTAGTCTCTTGCTACAGAGACTTGAAGTTCTTCAAGCTCCTTCAAAGTCCTTCAAAGGTTCCGAGTGTTGTTAGCTTTGGAAACTTTCCCAAAACAATTTTCAATCCATTTCCACCACCATCTCAAAGTTCTTCGAAGTTTCTTCACACATTTTCCGGCAACATTCAAGTCTTCATTTTCGGGGTCACTTCCGCTCACTGTCGGAGCAAGTGCTCCAAGCGTCATTTTTCACTCCCAGAGCAACACGTGCTACTCTTGGAGTTCCTTTCACCATAACCTTATCCACCTCACCAACATCACTCTCACTCTCTTCCAAACCTTATCCACCACTTAAGTCACTCATTTCACTCTCGGAGCAGCCTACGCTTGTCTCTAAAGCACTGTTCTATCAAGGCACCTTCGGCCTCTTAACCTCGATCTCTATAAACTACTTGGTCGCACCTCCCATCATTCTTCATCCCCGAAGTTCTTTTATTTGTCTTTGCGGATTCTTTAACATATTTTGCAGGTCATTTTTGTCATTTTGGCAACAAATAGGGTCCTAGGACACACGTCCTTCAGCCTAATTTACACCTAACCGACCCCCACTTCTTTGTCGTAGGTCCCGCCATCACCATCTACCTTGAAGCTCGGTCACGTCGAATCCGCTTCTGACAAACTGCATACGTACGCATGTTAACCCCTGACACATTGACCTTCTGAATCTACTGAACACCGACATTATTCAATACCTCGCCAGAGACCAACTATTTCCAACCAACCAGATAAGCCCTCCAGTAGACTCCTTAATGTTTTTTATTATTATTTATGATATCAAACATACTAAAAGTTTGTTTTTTTAACTTGAACTTGTTGTTACGCCATCATCATCTACCTTGAAGCTCGGTCACGTCGAATCCGCTTCTGACAAATCGCATATGTATGCGTGTCAATCCCTGACACATCGACATTCCGAATCTACTGAACCCCGACACTATTCAATACCTCGCCAGAGACCAACTCTTTCCAACCAACCAGATAAGCCTTCTAACAAACTCCTTAATGTTTTTTTTTTATTATTTATGATATCAAACATACCAAAAGTTTATTTTTTTAACTTGAACTTGTTACGCCATAGTCAAGATCTTTGATTATTCCTCCTATTTAGGACATCGAGAACTAAAGAAGCCACGATTGGACTTAGCCGTTGAGAGTACCGATGTGAAAAAAAAATCCTTGTGTTGAGCATCTTATACCACTTTGTGTAATGTGGTCAAGAAGTCCTAATAAGGTCACAATGATGTATGTGTAGAGGAATCGACAAGTGTGGGAGAAGGCAGAGGATCAACATAAAGCCCGCCAAATCAAGAGAAGATAATCCTCATCTGACATTCAAATTCAAATATGAGAACATATATTGATTATCACATGTCATCATGTATTTAAATTCAAATAATTAAACGTAGAGATAAAGCTACGAATATCCCTATATGGGGATGAGATAGAAAGATGTAATTTAGAGATAAGAGATATCGTCTACAGGAGAACCTATAAATAAAGGTTAAACTCCGTATTTAGTCTCTACGCACAATTTTCTACTCTTTGAGATTTAGTGCATCCACAAGTGGACATAGGTAACGAGATTATGCCGAGCCGCTATAAATTTTTGTGTTTCTTTTATTTTCGGCATTTATATTTCAGTCAATTTGAGAGAGTCACGACAGAATCACGACGCGAGTGTTCCCAGAGAGGTTGAATTTCGAGTTGACAAATTTTGTTTAGAGTCATGCCTGAAATTTTCATGTTCTCTTGCAAACTTAATTATTGAACCATTAGCAAAAAAATAAATAAAATTATTAAACAACATGTCTCATTTTCATGTTCTCTTTGAGCCTATTGTCCCTTTTGATGGGTCCATATTGGGTGTTTGTTTTCATTCCCTCAATTGATTGGTCCATGTTCAATACTTTCTTGGGTCCGAGTCCACACGTCTAGGGGAACTGCAGGAATATAATACTCCCTAACAGTTAAAAGTTTTGAGAGAATTTGGTGAAAGAGTGGTAAACTAACAATCAGAAACCATATTTTTTTCTTTGTTGCAAATTGATGAATAACACGTCTGGAATTAAAAAAGGTGCAAATGCACAATAAAAACTCATCTTCCGCGCAGCTACCAAAATACACAACTTTCCAAGGTTGTGTTGAGAAAATGCGCGGCTGATCATCTTCAATGACAATGAAATGGGGAAACATGAACGTAGATAATTTTTATACGGCATAAGTTTTTTTTTTTTTTTTGGCACCTTTAAATATCAAATAATAAAATCCACGCATTTAAAAGCAAGAAATAAGTATCGTAATTGTGTGACCGCTAATTGCTCTACAACAAAGGCAAATGCATTATTGACTTCCGTCTCTCAACAGAATGCAGACGTCACGTCACTAAAAACCATTCAAGTAATTACAGATTCACTGATTAAGACACATGTTTAGCACAGGAGACGATTACAATCACAAACTAATTATCACTTCCAACTCCACAAAAGAACATAAATGAAGATATGGGAATATTTTCTCAAGAGATCATAAGAGCAAAATGCTTGCTTAAAAGCAGCTTATGTCATTTGGCACAAACACCTGCATTTCTTGACAAGCAGTCCTATTTAAGATTTACCTAACTCTTGGTGTGTGTTGGTAGGCTCTACCTTCGTCAACCCTCGGGTGAAGCGGGGAATGATGGTGCACGGGCTGTTGGCCTTGTCGACGCACAGCCGTGGGCCGAGTGGAACGGATGGAACGACTCCTCGGCTCCCTAGGCTTTTCATTAGAAGCTTCAATGCGTTCCAATGTATCGACAACCTCTTTCATAGAGGGTCGATGCTTGTGTTCAGATTCTATGCATTTTAGTGCAAGGTGAGCTATATGGGATGCAGCTTTAGACGGGTATTTACCCTCCAACCGAGAGTCCATAATATTTTTCAACTTCCTTTTATCTGACAAGTATGGTTTTATCCAATCGACCAAATTATGTTTCCCACTGGGGCGATTAGTATCAAGCGCTCGCAAGCCTGTCAGGATCTCAACCAAAACAACACCGAATCCGTAAACGTCGCTCTTTACATACAAATGCCCTGTCCAGACAGCACACATCAATCCAATATTAGGACCTTGAGCCTGACCAAGTTGGTCTTTAAGAGAACGAAAGTTCGGAAGTTAAACCAGGATTACCTGTGGCAACATACTCAGGAGCAGCATAACCATAAGTACCCATTACCCGAGTGGTCACATGGGATTGACTAGCTGAAGGCCCCATTTTAGCCAAGCCAAAGTCCGAAATCTTGGCAGTATAAGACTGCACGTACAAATAGTAAAAGTTAGATTATAAATAGTAAAACTCAATACCGTTGCTTTAATATCTCTGTAGCAGATTAAACCAGAAATTTTACCCCATCAAGAAGTATATTCGAAGCTTTAAAATCTCTGTAAATAACTTGCTTTTCTGATGTGTGAAGGAATGCCAGGCCTCGAGCTGCTCCAATTGAAATTTTAAGCCGCAAGTCCCATGAAAGCGGCTGAACAACAGAGCCCCCTGTAGAACCGAAAAACATCAATATATGACCAGAAGAAACTTGTTTTATTGTGTTAAAAATAGTGCTCATATAGACAAAATGCTTGCATGTAGGGGGTGGTAACATTACTTCCAAATAGATGGTTTTCCAAGCTGCCTTTTTGCATGAATTCGTATACAAGCAACAGTTCTTTATCCTCCCAACAGTATCCCAACAACTTTACAAGGTTGGGATGGGAAAGCCGGCCTAAGAAATTAACCTCTGACTGCAACAACAAATGAAGAAGAAATTAGCATATGATTCACAAAATAATGCATAGTGATGCTCCAAACAACAACTGATTTTCATTCATGAGTTCATCAAAGGAACTTAAGCCCGATATGAAACAGATTATCATATTACATGATTATAGCTTCCGAAATCATCTTTGCAATCATGCATTACCAATGTTTTCTATAACCAACAAAGCCCATGTGAAGTTGCTAAAGAATGCTAATTGCAAAAACATTTACCACTCTATACTTTGGATTAAGCAGCAAGTTGAGTAAGTAAATGTCAATTCTAAATCATGGTTAACTAACAAAATCGGGGATTCTTTTCATCTACAAAATTGACTACAGAGAGAGCATTTCCCCACTACATGAGAAAAGCATAATTCAAAAATAAGTGTGATGTTCTATGTTTCCACATTGCAAAAACCATGACAACAAACGGAGCTCAAATCTAATATTTTCTTTCTAACTTTTAAAATGTCCCAGAACGAGTTCTACCCAATTGTCCAAAATTAGTTTTTTTGGTTCATCCAATAGTTAAAATCTCAATAGAAAAAGAGAGGACTTCTTTCTTAACAGCCGTGACCTAACATGTAAAATTACCAAATTAACTCTTATTAAACCGCATATAATCTTTACTGCCCGTTTGGTTCACATGTTTAAGTTGATTTTGATTATGAATTCAAATTTTGTGAGAAAACCCATTGACGAAACTTTTTTTACTCGAACTTTTTGTGGGAGAGCACATGTCTTTCTTGTAAATATTTTGATCATAACAACTAATTTTGAATAATTTGATACGTCAGGGACCCTTTCGAGGATGTTTTTAAAGTCGTGTGCCCAATTGGGATTTGACCTATAGATCAGGAACTAAAACTGATATTAACTCCAAAAAAAGGAGGTCTGATACAGAAGACTGGACATAACAAGTGCAACTAAAAGCCTATGAAGAAATTCAAAGACAGTCAACTTTTTGCCTTCTCCTTCAAGTTGTGCTCAATTACCTGCCACTCCTCAAATCCTTGCAAGCTCTCGGAATTCAACTTCTTGACGGCGATTACCATGCTGTTTCCGCTTTTCCCGGGACCTTTGTCATCAAGCCAGCCTTTATAGACTTTTCCAAATCCTCCCTCGCCGAGCACCGTATCAGCTCTGAAGTTTTTGGTAGCAGTCTTCAGCTCCGCAAAAGAGAAAATCCTCAAGTTTGGCGTGGGCAGAATTTGCCCATTTGGGTAATTCTCATCACAGCTCGCCACAGAGAATCTACTGTTCCGAGAGATGCTGCTTCCTGAGGATGTCGTATTACTCGTCGTCTGGGATATCCCTGATAATAAATACCCCACAATTGAAATAAAAAAACCGCATTAAAAGAAAGGAGTTCTTTTTTTTTTTCTTTATGTTGATCAAGTTCACAAATCCAAGTTCCCACTGTGTGATGATGAACACACAAAATTCATCAAAACCCATCAAAATCAAACTATTTCTAGACAATATGAGGTCAATATAATCAAATCTCATCAACCATGTAAACAAGTTTCAAGATAAAGACTTTTTGAAGAGGAACTATACATAAAAGCTGATAATAACCATGGAATAATAAATAATAAAAAAAGATAAGATTTACCATTGCTGAGATAGCCAGTAGTACTTGGTGTGGCCAAGTTATCAGCTGGAGAGCCCAAGCAATTTCCCATCTTATCTCTCTCTCTCTCTCCTCTTTATCTCTCTTTCTCTCCTCTCTCCCCCTCTCTCTCGTTGGATCTCACTCAAACAACGAAAGAGAAAAGAAAAGCCTTTTCACTATTCAGGTCCAAAGCAGAAACAGCAAAAGAGAGGACCTTTATTTTTTTCTCTTCTATAGAAGTAGATGAGATGATGAAGATAAATGCTCTGCTTTGAATTTTTCAGCCCAAAAATAATAATACTATAATGGGTCTCTCTCTCTTCTCTCTCTCTCTCTGCTACATTTAACTTTCCTTGACTTTGCGTTCCTCCATGTTATCTTCCCACTATCCGAACAAAGCAGCTACAGCCTTTGGCCTTTTTCTCTCCTCTCTTTCCTGTAAATACGTTTTTTGTTTTTCCAACACTTTTACAAAGCCAAAAACACAAGCATTTAATAGTTTAAAAAATGACGCGGGACTTAATTTATGAATTTAAAATTATAATTTTTTATTTTAATTTTTTAAATTTATATTTTTTATGAGATAAAAATATTATAAAAAATTAAAAAATATAATTCAAAATTAAAAATAAATTTTTAAAACAAAGAACAGTCGGAAAAAGCCCGTTCCCGCTTATGAAAAGTAGAAAAGGAAGTAGATTAGTTTCGAGTGAATGGATATTCTGAGATAGAACGAGAAAAATTAAATTTGATTAATTCAACTTCTAAGACTTTAGAACAATTAGAAAATTACAAATATCATTATTTTCTTATTAATCTCAACGTATATTATTTAACACATATACTTTATTAATGTGATATATTATTATTTAAATAGAAAATAAATTAAAAAAAGTAATAACTTTATGTATTAAATAGTGAATTGAGAGAATTAAAAGAAAATTGATCCTAATATTTTTCTAATAATTAATAGAAAGTTTAGGCTTGATTGACCAAGTCTCGACGTAGAAAAAACAGACGAAGTTTAGAGCTTCATTTCGCGGGTAAATGTCGTAGCTAGCCAGCTGGCTAAACTTCATTTCGCGGGTAAATGTCGTAGCCAGCCAGCTGGCAGTGATTATAATAATAATAATAATAATAATGAAATAAAATTCCAAGTCAACAGCCGTGTCTTAAGGGAGTAGTCAGTCAAACTCAAACGCAATGAAAATTTATTCAATTCAAAAAGAAGAAAGAAAGAAAGAAAAATCTACTTGGAAGTTGGATGTGGAAGGCAGACAAGAACAACCGTCCAAAAGTTTCATCTGTTTGACCAAAATTTATCTCGAATTTAAGATTGATGACTTTGAGCTACTTAGGGCCCGTAAATTGCCCGTAAATTAAGTAAAAAAATTTTAAAAATAATTATATTTAATTTTTTATTATAATAAAAAAATTTTATATAAAATTATATATTAACTCGAATTAAAAAATTAAATTAAAGAACTAAACGCCTCGTGATAGGCCTTGAAATTATGTTTTCTTTTTCTTTCTTCTTATTAACTGTTTTTTTGGTTTATTAGGCTTAATTGCTTAAATAAAATACTAGGAAACCAGGTTTAAGGATTGCCTCATTAGTCTTTGCAAGTGAAATAAAATAAGGTCTCGTTCATTTTATCCGCTCGAGTTTTCAGTTTTAGATTCTTATAATTAAAAACTCTCAAAAAATATTACATCTAACTTTTTCTGCTATAATTAAAAATTTATAAAAAAGATCATATTTTAACTGAAATTAAAAACTCAAATCTATAAAGTGAATGATGTCTAAAAAGTTAAATATAGTACTAATTCAAGGACGTGATTTTGAGGACTAGGAAACGAGGCAATAGGATTACCTCGTTAGTCTTTTCAAGTGAATGATGTCTAAATAGTTAAATATAGTACTAATTCAAGGACATGGTTTTGAGGACTAGGAAAACATGAAATGAACGTTTGGTTTATGAATTCAGAATTATTTTTTATTTATGTGTGTTTTTTATAAGAGAAAATACTGTAACGAATCATGAACCATGATTCGAATCAGGGTACGAATCCACCAACCAAACAATCCAAAAGTTTGGCCGTAAAAGTTTTTTTTTTTAAGAATAGTTGGGAGAAGTATTATAATATATAGTAATTTTTTTTAGTGCGTTTGTAATTGGTTTTAAAATAATTTTATTTTTAATAAAAAATAAAAAAGAGATTATTTTGAGAATCATTTTAAAATCAATTCTGAAATTATGTTTAGTTTTTTTTTTAAGATATTATTTTAAGTATAATAAAATAATAAAATTATATTTATTAATTAATATATTATAATATTATTAATAAGTATTAAAAAATAAAAATAATATTTAACTATTTTATAATTTCTTTATAAAAATTATTCATTTTCATTTTTTATTTCTTAAAATACGTAAAACTTATTTTAAAAAACAGTTTCAACACGCACTTTATTTTTTTTGAAAGCCACTTTAGAAGAAAAGTATTTGTTGTTATTGCACGCCCTTAGCTGCTTTTTGTTTTTTGTTTTTTTAGTTCAATCTCCACTTCAGAGGCGGCTTAGCAGTTGTAAAACGAAAGCAATGATTTGTTCTATCTAAAGATAATATACAAGAAATTACAAATCTTTTTTTTTTTGAAACTGTTTAATTATAATCGTGTGGTGAGGAGGCCACGTTCGTAGCCGTACATCTAATTATGTGAATTACAAATGTATGGATGAGGTGGCTGCCGATTTGGATTATTAAAAAGTGTTTGCTTGAAATTGACGTGGAATTTTTCTGAGCATAAGAATTTGGATTGAAATCCCTAGCAAAGGGAGCGGCGCATCTGAAGCGGACATTTTTAATTGTGTATTATCTTGCATAATATTTGGTAAAAAAAAGGGAAAAGAATTAAATTTTTTTTTTCATATATGAGATCAAAAGCTCTTGACGAACCCAGATCTAGAACTAAAACCCAGCCGTGGACAAATCTTCTGATATCTCGAGGAACGCTGATCAGAGTAATCGAACCGCCGCCGACGATGACAGCCTTGAGATCCGATGAAGGGAGAAGAAATAACGATGGCGAATCAGACTTGGAAGGAGTGTATTTCACCTTACTCACTCAGAAAAGACGTTTGGTGCTGAGATTGAGATTTTTAAGGTTGATCTTGACGAGCTTCATCATCGTCAAGAGTTTTGCAGGAGAATAAGAAAGAAGAGGGAGAAAATAGAGAGGAAGAAGCAAAGCAGAAAATAGAGATGGAAGCACCTAAGACAATCACGTGAACTACGAAACCAGAACGAACCAAATATTGAGAAACACCTACCCTAACTTATTCTTTAAACTTTCATCTGGATTTTACTTTTTTTCTTTTTAACTTATTATCTGGGTTTTACTTTTTTGGTATTCATGGTGTGAATTCTGATATGTATCACACATATTCCTTTTTAACATAAATTTTAAAATTCTAAAATAATTGTATAAATGAATTTTTAATCTTTTTAGGTATTTTTAACGCGATAATATATAGCAAGTTACAAAATTAGTATATAATAAATAATTAAATATCACATGATTTGTAGACGATATAATCGTTTGTTAATTATTCTCATTTTTTAGGACGTAGTCCTTTTTATATGATTGCTTTTTATAAAACTAGTTATAACTTAACGGTGTAGTCATTTTTTGGTTTGTTTGTTTTGCCGTTAATGGTGTTTTTACGTTGTTTTGGTCTCTTGGCGTAGCTTGTTTGTGGCTGAACGTGATTGATTCCTTCAAGCGCATGATGTACCTGTTTATGATGCTATAATATTTTTTGTTAATTTTCTGTGTTATAAACACCCTTTTCAATCGCAAGTTTCTTTGGCTGCACGAGGCGGAGGTTTTTGTTTTGAGCCATTTATTTAAATTAATATGTAATTTTATGTAAAATTTTTTTATTATAAATAAATTAAATATAATTATTTTTAAAAAAAATTTATTATAATAAAATTTAAAATTTAAATATAAATTGATAAAATAAATAAGGTTTCATTTATTATTCTTTTTCCTCGGGGATGTTTGCTTGATAGTGGAGAAAAAGTTGTCAGAAAGACATATTTATCTCTGTTTTCTATAAAAATTGTGGACCCCACTTCCCGTCAGTTTTTTTGACTATTTAATGAATTTTTTCTGCAAAAAAAAATAATGGACCCACTACAATCAGATGCCACGTAAGTTCGTGAGAGTAACCCGTGTGTTAAGATTCTGTTCATTTCATCGATTTGAGTTTTATTACAGTAAAAAATTTTTATGAACAATCACATTTAATTTTTTTATTATGATAAAAAATTCTCATATAAAATTATATCTTAACTCAAATTAAAAATTTAAATCAGTAAACTAAATAGACACCCAAAATTTTGCACTGCAACTTTTGTTTTGTGTTTGTCGTGCAAGATTGTATTATACACCATCACTGTGCCAGCCAATAAAAATGGAGTCAAATCATTTTTTTACGCGGACTATCCGTACTAGTGTGTAGAACTAGAGAACGAGAAGATTCTGTTTATTTTATCAATTTGAGTTTTATTATAATAAAAAAATTTTAAAAATAATTATATTTAACTTTTTTACTATAGTAAAAAGTTTTTATATAAAGTCACATCTCAACTCAAATTAAAAACTCGAATCAATAAAATAAACGGATCATTTTTTTCAAAAAATTCTACCATAGTAATGGATAGAATTTGAAAGCTGAGATTACATTTGAGTTGTAAGGTAACAGAATGAGATTAGTTTTTGTAATGTGATAATTCTCTTTTATTGATGTATGTTGTACATAATCCGTTAATTGTGAAAGGTAACAAGATATTAAAACTTATAAAGAGTTCCTAGACGCCTAATTTTGTAAACTCAAAGATACATTTTTACATAGTTAGTAAAATTCATATGATACGTTTGGAATTCGTTCCAAAACGTTTTTATTTTTTGTATGAAAATGAAAACGAAAACGTTTTCATTTTCATTTTGGAATCATTTTTGAAAATACGTTTGATAATTTTATTCCGAGATTGATTTCAGTTTTAAAAAAAAAACTGAAATTGTGTTTGGTGATTTAATTTTTAAAAACATGTAATAATATTTAAAATTAAAATATGTTAAATAAATAATAATATTAATATGTTATTAGATCAACAAAAATCACAAACTCAGATCGAGATAATATCACAAACTCATGACCAAACGAACAAAACATTTTTCTCCGCATTTCATCGAAAACTTTCCTTCCATCTCTAATACCCTTAGTTTTCATATACATATCAACAAGAGAAGTGCCAACACTAACATCCTCCCCAAACCCCGGATTTTACGCATTGACAATGCACTTGCCTACCCACAACTTGATCAAACAAGCACCTACAAACCTTCAATGTACAAGACAGAGCTAACCCATCAACCGGAAA